GTAAGAAACCTTTAGTACTTCGACAATAAAATTATTTTTTTATTCAGTTCACTCCTCACAAAACAAATGTTAAGACAGCCCGACAAGTATTTTAGCGTGCAAATTGAAATTAACACCTATTTCCATAATAATTACCCACTTAATCTAGACTAAACTGGAGCGCCTACGTAGGTAATTTCCATTTTTACACAGTGAAGACTGGTTCATTAGTCGACTCACTGAGTAACCGTTACTTAGGGACCTAATAAGAATAATAGGCATCGCGTTACTGGCTTAGTAAGTTATGGCCACCGCAGGGCACTGCTCTATTTAGAAACACGTGTTTCACGACTCGGTTTAATTTAGCTACTATTTATTCTGCGCTTTCTACGTGTTGAGTAGTTTTATAGGTACATAAGCTTAGGCAGGTACTTGTTTTATATTAAGACGTACCTAAACGCGGTTTTTCCGCAAACAAGACTCAACTTGTATCTCCGGTGAAAAGAAGTAAAGTAAGTAGGTAATATTTGGCTAATGTGGGAGACGTTCGTTGATACTGGGGACTGAGTCCTGAGTTCGAGAACATCGAAACCAACAAGACCTATACAAGGTTTGGATCGCTGATCTAACACGATATCTTGTGCTCGGCAGTTATGAGAAAAGAAAATGAAGAAATATTTAAAAGTGGCTGGTAATCCTTCGTCATTACAAGCATTTTATAACATTATTTTTAAACACGATCTCTGAAACTTCAGTGAGAACATAAATTAAATAAGTATTAGACCCAAGAGAAGTTCCACATGCGATATGATCGCAGAGATCTCATTAACAGATATCAGTTTTTAAAAGTTTACGAAGAAATACTGCCATCAAACGGCAGAAAGTAGATACAAAAGTACTTACTTACTTACCTACGTAACTCGTATCTTGGGTCGCAACTCTCGCAAGGGATTTTAAATCGCTGACAAATAAATTGAATTGATTATGCAAACTGACAGGAACCAGGAACAGAACACATCTCCTATTGTTAGAATAAAAACTGCGTTGAAATCAAATCGGAAACATTCGTATAAAACCGGTATATGGCGGGTAGTGAAACAATGAAAAGGATTTTGTACGAACGTGAAAAGCATGATGATGAAATCTAATGGTTTTTTTTATAGAATAGGAGGCAAACGAGTAGACGGATCATCTGATGGTAAGCATCAGCGCCACCCATGGACACCCCGCAACACCAGAGGTGTCACAGGCACAGATGCGTTGCCTTTTTAAATGTTTGTCCAATATCTAAGATTTTTATAATAACTATCGTGAACATCTAAAATAACTAAAAATCCCGGGTTACTCAGTATATTCAATACTGAGAACAATAGCGCGAAATCGACGCAACCTGGTAACTAGTAAAAAACTAGTAGAACTTTTCTCAGAACTTTCACGTGAGTAACCCGAGTTAATATAAGAACTTATATACCTACCCATATCGACAATGAATTAGACTGAACCACGAAGCACAGAAAATCAAATCATCATCTAGTCCTCCTCCACGCCAAGTCTGACCAAGATACCTCCTTGTGCCACCCGAGAAGTCAAAAATATAAAGAAAACAAATGACGCTGATATCTCTTGTTGTCCATTCGTTTAATGTTCTTTATTTGCCCTATACTTAATAGTTTTGCCTTAATCCAGCCTCGAGTGATTGTTAATGCTTCAGAAATATTATCTTTAAGGCTGCGGTTTGCAGGCTTAGTTGATCATTTAACAAAGCAAATCCCTTGAGAATACGAGAACATAGTTTCAATTTCAACTTCTCAATTATCAAACTCCCAAGTATGGCAGTAAGTAAATAGATACCTACCCAATCATAAAACAGGTACCTATCCTGTAAAATTTCAGAACAAGTTGTTTATTTATTATTCTGTATATGAGTAAGACTAAGCGCCGGTTTCATCACCTCTATATAAGTACCTGATAAATTTATGTAACAAATAGTTCATACAAATATTACGTTCTTAATTCGAATTTATCTGGTAGATAGCAGCTATCCGGATATTGTGAAACAGGCCCTAAAAATAATTAATGTTTTATCTGTGAACTACCACGATATGCTTATGTAAACTATTTCTTTAGGCAGCCGTGCTCAACGTTAATTACATCATCGTTTACCACCAAGTGGCCAAACACCGACCTATTCATAAAATTAATATTTTAAGCTCGAGAGGTAAAATAAAAAATGGAACGTCGACCCAATGGCGACGCATAAAAAATACGACGAAAATAATTAACGATCCGATCATGTATTCATTAATTTGTAACTGATCCTACAATTAACTTCGGCAGATAATAAAGTTATATGGACGAGGACTATGAGGTACCGTAATTACAGGGCCGGTATTAGATTTGTAATGGACACTAAACCACTTTTGATACAAGTCTGCTCGTTACGCAGGGCCGGTGGCTTTATTAAACGATGTTACCCATACCTACGTATAAAGATACGAAAAGTTCACGACCGTCGAGACGAAAAAGTTCAAATCTCCACAATTCCTAAAGTAACTCTCTAATCCCTTGTTAGATTTTGAAATCGACATGCGAATCAAAAATTCTTCGCTAGCTCACTATTAAATGAGACTAATTTATTACCAGCTTACGTCTACTTTACAGATAAAAAAACTTTTACGCTAAGCCAAAATTTTCTGCACATTTTTTATCACACGTTACCACTGAATTATTAATACGAGAAAATATAATAACATTTTTATAACGTTGAATAAGTATTCCTTTTCTTTTCTCTTCATAAAATAATAAGCAAAATTTTACATGAACGTGACGTGTACGGTGGAGCGCTACGCGGCGGCTACGAGCGTAGGACGTAGCGGAACTGCTACGAACAGCTACGAAGAACTACGAAACATTTAGACCATGAGAAATAGACGCGACTCAAGTTGATGGTGGCGATTAGAGGCGGTTCCATCCACTGATTCCATTGAATGTACGCCTTAAGGGATATAAATCGACTAAGCTTAGTTTACTCCGAAACCATTTCACAAAACAACGAAATACTACAAATTGATTGTCTGGAAACTCGTTTTTCGAGCGATATTTGGGTCGGGATCATTATTTTTGTTTCGATTTCAAAATTCTCAGTACGAAGTCTGGGAATGTGCCCGGTGTATGGTAATATAATCGTCCTCAGTTACTTGGGGGTTTTTGCGTTACAGCTAAATGTTTACGCCTTCCAAGGAAAGGTCCGTAAAAGGATACGAAAATAAAAAGTTTAATTTAGTACTATGTATAGAATATAATAATGATCTTTATTACTTCAGCTCGATTAAACAATATAAAGCATTTGATTCATGGATAAACACGTTGAACTCGTACATAGTAGATAATTAAAGTAAATTTATACTAAATCATACGCTCTGAGAACAAAAAATGCATAAACTTAGTAATATCCGATTCCTTGCTGGGCTTCGTACAACTTCACGTCGTCTTTTTTCATTCCTAGTTCAGGCCTGTAATGAAGAAAATAGAATTAAATTACCAACATTAAGGACTAGAATTCAGTCTCCGGCTGTGCCTGCATATAATTCTGTTTTTTCTCGAGTAGGTCCCGATCTTTTAGGAATATCGGGATAAAATAGTAATCTACATAAAATCAAATAATTATTCAATGGTAAAAGAATTTTATAAACCAGTTTGTTAGTTTCCGAGCCTATTCGATATAAATAAAAAACACTCAAATTTTCCCTCCTTTTATAACCTACTACTTTAGAATAAATGTCACGTCGATAAAAATTTAATAAAATTCGCAGGCTTTTTCTTCTTTCCCCTGACGAATTAGTATCTACTAATTTACGTAAGATCTTAAAGAAATGAGCCCTAGGAGAGCATTAGAACTATAATAAAATAGAAATTTGACCTTTATTTTAACTTTTAATAGAATTTATAAAGTCCTTCCATAACAAACCATAAACTTTACTTACAGTGTCAACTCGACAGTATGTTGTTGAACTGAAAAAAAGAAAAAAATTTAATCAGGTATGTTTGGGTGCAGTAAATATTCTTATCATTTCTAGATCACGGTTTTAACTATGACTAGTTAAATAATATAAGACTAAAATATTAGGACTAGACTAGTCATAAAATTAAATTAGTATGCTTCTAAGCTACACAATAAATTCTGTACAAACGCTGTTAACATAATATAATTAAGAAAAGTGGGACGCTTGCGAATGAATATAAATTACAGTAAATCGATGGCTGATCGCCTCTGAGAGTATTAATAAATACGTAAATGCTATTATCATCACACAACAAGCGGCTCTTGAGTTGCGGGTCGTCGCGCTTTCCACCGCGGTCCACTGAACCTCTGCGTGAGGCACGAGTTGCGACACAGGTGATATTATATGTTGTGCACAGACACAGCACCGAATGTAATTAAATATTATATCGCACTGATAATTATTATGTAACTTCTCATTGTCTTCGCTAATTATTAAAATATGATATTAGTATTAGGAACGTGAGGACACGCGCATGAAGCGCGAATACAAGCAGGAGACGTTTCCGCGTGTAAAAATACGCCGTGTGCTATGAGCACAGTATAATATACTGTATTGCCCCTAAAATATTCGTACTTCGGTGAAATAGTTGTTTAGTGTTTTGATTCAAATCAAGTTGGTGAACAATATTGATGTTTTTGTAAATCATCCAATACAAAACACTTACAGAATTGGGTAGTTTCCTAGGTTTAAAATAAATAGTTTCAACTTTTCAATGCAATAAATAATTAAAAAATAATCATACTCTCATCCATTCATTTGACAATTTACCTACTTTTGGATTTTTGCTCGCTAATTTTAAGGAAATAAGTATGCTGTTTGACGTAGAAATATGATGACGTCATAAGGTGCGATCCAATACAAAATTCATAAAAAAATATAGTTTTTGACATTTCAATTAAAGTATTGAATTTGACTACCTGTCAACTACCGTATTGTATTTTGCGATCACAAAATACCCTAAAACGCGTAAACTATTAACGTAATTTGAGACATGATCAAAATAAACTCACTCATATGTGGATGCTGCGGCGGTTGCGGCTGTAGCATACCGACATCGGGGTAGAACAGGGTGTGATTGGAGATGTACTCCTTGGGCTGTTCGATGTACGTGTTCTGTGGCACTGGCACCTGCGCCATGGCCATCTCCTGCGAACGCCACTTGTCCATCTCATCAGTCTCCTGCATTTTCTGCATCCTCTCCACTTGCTTGTACGTCGGCTCCCCGCCTATATAGTCACGTTTCATCCGGTTGTGGTTCCTTATTTCATGCTTGCGTAGGTCCGACCTAAGGATAAGTTGAGAAATATATATTTTATCGTTAATAAAGTACAGATACATACTCGCATCTTGTTATAATATAATAACAAAATTAATTACATTAACTATATATTGTGCTTTCATATAATAATTATGTTGCCGCACCCTAACCGGGTTTCATGTTGAAACAGTTTCTACCCAATTATGTAACATCTATTGTACATAATGCAATAAAAATTTTAATTATATGTTATGTATCTCATGTTAATACGCAATTTTAGTTAATGTTGTGTTAAAATGTGGTTTTAGTTTAAACCTCTTTTAATTTCGTATTTAAGAAACAATTTACTCTTCATAGTGAAATGAGTTAATCCTGCCAAGCCGACACGATGTATGTGGATAAGAAACAAGATTATATTATCAGAAGCATATAAAACCTTCCTACTAATAACATTGTACTGAGACTGCTTGCGGAGCTTGATCAGATTTATTAACACGTACACACCCCTGCTCTTATTACATTTTCTGTTTTGACGGTATAAATAAATAATAAATGAATGTGGGTATAAATCGTTACGAAAATCCCCTAATACTTTGAGCATTAACCTTATATCCCTTTAGTATTATTGTCTATTGTTGTTTAAATACAAGTTATATGTCTTTGCACTTTAGTTGCTAATGCATCTGAACAAAGCGCATTACTATGTTACTCGTATTCCTAATGCGCGGCGCCAATTTATAAGATACCTTAGAGGTTCCGTAATGACTTTTGTGCTTTCAAAGTTTGCAGAGTGCTACTCAACATAATAATAATAACTTTTCAAAATACTAACAATATTAAACATTCAAATTAATATACGCCCGAATACTGAAAGGCTACTCAATTTTAACTGATCAATCTCCAAACGGTCACCGGTGACCGCTATCCACTAACTTCATTATAGATCTTATTTCTGATGTTTACAAACTACTTTTGTATGGACAAATTTTGGGGATTTATATAAAGTGATAAGTTGTACTTAAATATCGTGTAATCTTATGTCATTTTACAAAGAATTTGTAGGAACAGAATTATACTTAAGTGCGATTTAAAATTGAGTGGCGTCTGAGTATTTCAGCGTATAAAGTCGTAACAAAATAGTTGTTCACTTTTTAAAAGCCGAATGTTCATTTTCGTAGTCCTAATTTTTTAAAACCAATTTTAATACGTCAAAGGCAACATAGTTGTACAGCCAACGCGTCACACGAGAGCACTTAGAACTTCACTTATACGTAAAATTAAGTTAAAGGTCTAACTTCTAGTCTTTGTTGTAGTTCAGTTGACGCTTCATTTGATATTACAAGGCACACAATAACCAGTTTCATAACTTTTTAATTACTTTAACTTGTTTGTAACATTTTCTGTAACAACTTGTAACTAAACACTAGACAGTCATTGTGAATATTAAATATATATAATGTGTAATATATAATATATATAATAGTGAATATATAATGTGTAAACATATCATAGAGGGTAAGATTTCAAAGGTTTTTTTCATACTTACTTGTAACAGAAGTCACGTCCGCAGTAGTTACATGTGTGTTTGATGTTCATATGCGTGGCCTCGTGGTGCTCCCGAAGCGCCGTGCTCGTGCGGAACGATTTTTCGCAAAGAACGCACTAAAGACAAAAATATTTGATCAACAATGTAATATTTTTGCTGACGATGGAGATACTATCCTTTTTGCCGGTTTAGGGTCGGTAAGTCTTTGTTAGGGTTTTGTGACGATAGCTTTTTACGAATTTTGTCAATAAAGAGTTCTTATATGAGACCATTCATGCAGTTTGTGAAGACAACACAAAGTCAAATATCATAACTAGTGTTATTGCGATTCAAGCATATCTTTCACCTATTAAATCAGTAGATAGGTCAACGCTTCTTTTAGTTTAGGATTTTCATTCAACTTGTCATACATCAACAGCCTATAAATGCCTACTACCAAGCAAAGCCTCTTCTCACACGGAGAATGTTTGCTCATTAATCACCACTTGCTCAATGCGGGTTGGCGATTTCAAACTTATAATTAATAATTATAAGCCCAGGTCTCCTCACAATGTTTTCCCTCACCATTTGTCAGTGGTGTCTGAATAATCTTAGAAAGTACATATAAAAATTCGGAAAAATTCATTGGTAGGTTTCGAACCAGTGGCCTCATGCATGAGAAGCGGGCGTCTTAAAACCTCCAGGCCACCACGACCAAACTTTTTATTTTTGCTTTTTTTGATTCAACTCTTCAACTTGATTATTTTTTTGTCAAACGGTCAATTATAGATACATTACGCCAAAAAATCTATAGATAAATGTAGTGTGGGTACTGAAAACATTCAAATAAGAACAACTTACCTTAAATTGTTTAGCCTGATGTGTAAGCTTGTGTTTGTTGAGATTGGAAGGGTTGACGAAGGTAGCAGTGCACTCAGTACACTTGTATGGTTTCTCACCAGTATGTGTGCGCATATGCATCACTAGGTAGTATTTGTGTTTGCATCTGTATGGGCACAGATCACAGAAGAAGTTGAATGTGTTTGTGTGGACCAACCTGTATGAAAATAATAAGTTATAGTTGATTAGGCTTCATGTAACGAGTTGGGACTAAGCTAATAGGGTAGACGACTAATTTTTATTTTAATGTCCGTCTGGTAGATTATTTAAAAACATTAGACACGTATTTTTTATTTTCTCACAGAAACGAATAGTTTCGAAGATATATTGATTTGAAATGTCGCGTGACGTCACTTCTCAGTACATTTTATACTAAGAAATGACGTTTTAGCCCCCACTCCTAAACTTTGATTCGTTTTATCTAAGTATTGTTTTATTATACGACAAAATAAAAAAATACGTGTCTAATATTTTTTCATTACCTAACTTACGGACTAATTATATTTTTAATTTTCATACCCTGTCATCATCCCCATTGTGCTTTATTAAAACAAACAAAGGTGTTTTGAACGTTTCAGAGCTGTCTCAGTCTCCCAAAATTTATTTTTAGTCACATTTATAACTTTTACATTACAGTTGAATGTTTGTTTTTCCATACGGATAAATAAAAAACATCCAAAAAAGACGAGATATATTTTGTCTAGTGGTGTCACTGATATCATTTTCGAACAATTCCAGTCCTTGAAATGATTTTACTTACATGTGATTTTTAAGTCTAGCAATAATAGGGAACTCCTTGCCACAAGTAGGGCACTGGTGTGGCACAGTCTGCTTGTGTATGTGACGCATGTGTTGGGCGATGCTCAGTACCAACTGGCCACAGATATCACACGCGCGCCGCATACACTGCCGCTCCCGTCGGTGATCCATCAACTCGGCCTAAGTAAAAAATAAAATAACTTCACAAAAAATATTCGTGAATTTTATCTCACACAATCACTTAAGTCCCGGGAAGTCCATTTTCAGATTCCAATAAGAATTAATTTTTTTTTTTTTGCCCCACTCTAGGGTTAACTCCTGTGTCGTGGGTGCGTTTACAAACATACAAATTCACATACACATGACACCCAGACCCGAAACAACAATTTGTGGACCACACAAAGTGTTGTTCCGTGCGGGAATCGAACCCGCGACACGTTGCACGGCAGCCGGTTGCCCAGCCACCGCACCAACCGTGCTTTCAAATAATATGCAACAGTAAACTTATTTGTTTAGCTTTTATATTCAAATCAGTGAATGAAACAGTTCGATTCGGCCACTCTTTGTGCGATCCCCAAATTGTTGTTTCGTATCTGGGACATCCACGACACAGGTGAAAATCATAATGCGGGCCAATGTTTAAAATAAAAATACTTAGGGGAAAAATTGGATGGATATGGCTTTTCATCGTATTATCCAATTAACAACATGTGAAAAAGACTTATTGAAGATATCATAATACAAACCTTACTAGGGAATGTCAAGTCACAAGGTGAACACTTGAACTGTTTCACTTTAGGTTGCTTCTTTTGTTGCATTTGTCTTTCTCTCCTCATCTGTTCCTGAGCAGCCTGTTCCTGAATTTCCATCCTCTTCTTCTTCATCTGATGCAGTATTAATTGGAAGTCATGTTTTGAATAGGGATATGATGGTGTCACTGGATTGCCTGTGAAAAGTAAATTATATATAACTTAACTTTACAATATAAAGGAGAAACGTCTAAAAAGTTGGGGCTGGATGAAGAATATAATTACTATTTTTGTTAAACACATCACATTTCTTAAACAAACAACATGGTACAAGAAGCTAACAATGGCTATAATGTTTATGCCACACGTTCATTTTAAACTATTTCCAATTTTCAAATTTAAGCATGTTTATATTGTAACTAGGTCCACAAAAAAACAGTTACCTGAACATGAAGGCTCTTTGAAATTCCCTTTATTCTAATTGGTAAGTATCTAACATATAGAATGGGTAATTGGATAAAATATGTGCCAGTTAAGCTAACATTAAATTAGCAGTGGGTAAATGGCCTTAAAATTGAATAAAATGTTTTGTTACCTGTTGGGTTTAATATTTTCTTAAATTTCTTATCCGAGGCTTCACACAAGCTTTTAAAATTAATTGCATTCTTCAAGCTTTCCAAACATTCAGTACAAATGAACTTTGGCAAGGAATCATCAACTTCTATCTGTAAGATAGAAGTGGTTCACTTTTAAGCAATAACAATAATATTTAGGTACATTTTATTAGATTCTGGTATTAGACTCATTGATTCTTAATGGAAAATTACTATATACTTCTAGAGCAACATTCACCAAAGACCAATATTAGTTTTACAAGAATTTACAAACTAATAATATACTTTGTCAGTCAACTTTCAACAAAGAATTATAATAAAAATAAATTCTACTCGTAGTGCTCTATGCTTTAATGACTTGAATCTTAGAATTAGTTTATCAACTTAAACTTACAGTAATGTTGCAAACACTTCGTATAGCACTCATAATATCGTAACCGTTGATTCGATCCCTCAGGGGATGGCAGGCACTTCTGGCACACACTCTACATATCATTTCCTTAGACAGATGCAACACCTTATTGCTGCAAATGAATAAACAATTACATTAGAACATTCATAAACCCAAGTACCAAAAGCTATTTAGATAAAAGCTTGATCGGCAAGTACCTTTAGGTACTAAGCTAAGGAATAATTGTAAACACTTACTTGCTCTCGTTTATAAGGCTAGGCCAAGGATCATCACGATTACTTGTCTCGATCTTAACAGGCGAACCACACGGATATTTCACTTGATTCATCTTTGATAACATTTTCTTTGTTAAATAGACTGCCATGGTTACAATACCTATGTTCTTGCGATAGGTAATATTCTCAAATTTCACATTTTTAGTTTATTTACAACAAGAATCACGAACTCATAGATAGATGATTTGCATTTGACAACTGACTGACGTGAATGAATATTACAGAGGAATGAATGTACCTCTATCCATATTGTGTCTGTGGACCTTAAACAAAGTGAACTTACGACTGTGAAATGGTGAATAATTTAACGTTGGAAGAATAATAATTTTAAATATTTTACTATATAATTTAAGTTCTACTAAAGCTACTAATACTCAATGCACTTTACATATAGAACGAATTGTTTTTTCGTGTTACATACATACACTTTTATCTATGTATTTGACAATATTTGTCATATGTTAACAATTTGACAATGACAGCTTTACTTGAAGAGATTTTTGTTTAGAAAAGGATAGGCATAGAGATTCACAATGAGTGTAAGGCTATAAACAATATACAACTGCTACTTTGCAATATATAAATGTACTGTAAATATACAAAAATGTAAATAACTTTCGGTCGCAATTGAATTTTGTTCTTGTTACGGATTTTAAATAAGAAAACAATGTCTTCTCTTTTATTGCTCAAATCTATGTTGTATGCTAATGCACTTCAAAAGAGTAAAAAGAAGAAAAACAGGATGAAAAAGGCATATAAACCGTACGTATTGCATTTCAGAAATACTGTACAATGACTACCTAATCCTTGTATGTAATAGCCCAGTCTAATGAAATAAATCTAATTGTATGTTACTTAAAAATCCAAGTCAACTACTATTGATACCTATCGTCTTAGATTCTTAGATTTAGTGTAATAATAACTCAAGTTTATTTCATTTACAGGCCCAAAAGAGAAAAAATAAACTTAATAAATATGTGCAGGATATGCAACAACGAAAAGGGAGATATTCCAATATTTAACAATTTTAATCAACCCAATATTCCTGAAGAAATACAGAACTTTTCTGGCATTCTTGTAAGTTTTTATATATTTTTTTTTTACTAGATCATAATCTAATAAGAATTGTGCCTGGTTTATGGCGATAGGCTTAGCAGGGGGTGTACATGGAACTAATAACTAAATGTTGAAACTGAAAAATGAATAATACATTGAACATGTAGGCCTTCGCTTACCCCTTTGAGTGATTTATTTATTAAGTCATGTTGTAATCTAATACTCTTATACTTTCAGTTAAATAATGCTGATAATTTATCAAAACATATGTGTCAAAGCTGTCTGGACTTATTGAATGGATGTATAATGTTTCGAGAAATGTGCCAGAGGAATAACAAACACTTGATTGAAATTACTATAAAACAAGGCAAGTAAAATTGTAAGAACTATTAGGTAAATGAAAATTATGACAACTTAAGATTTTAATAGAAAGAAACAACTAAACTTATTATATTTTATGTCATGAATGAATAGATAGAAATTGTGTCTTATTAGAAAATTATCTTAGTAACACTAGTTATTATGATTTATACCAGTACCAGATAAATACCAGATAATCTGATATTTATCAAAACAGTTACTTTTAATACTTCTCTTCTTGACCCAAGGATAAGAAGTAGGAAAACTTTGTCTATTCAATTTATATATTTCATTTACAGAATTCAATCAAGACAATGTAAATTTAGAAGAAGATAATGATCCAAATGCTGATAGTGAAGACTCATACAATGTCCCATCACCAACATTCTCCACAGATAACTCGGAACTTCTATCTCTGTGGAGGTGCAGCAAGTGTGGTGAAGAGTTTTATGTTATGGTAATATTGTTTTATCAAATAAACATTTTAAATTAAGAAACTATAGATAATAAATGTTTAAAAAATCCTACTTCATCCCCATCTATTGAAGTTGGTTAGGTAATTCATATACTAAAGCCTTCTCCTAAGCTTAACACTTTTCTGAAAACCAGATCAAAATCGGTTTAGCCAATCGCGAGATAATCGCGCACAAACATACACAGAGATCAAACTAAGAACCTCCTTTTTTGACGTCAGTTAAAAAACCACTAAATTCTGACCAAATTCAATGATTCTTAGATCAGACTTTATTGAACTATTGTTCATGATTGATGAAATAAATAAAATAAAGCGGCCTACAGCGAATATTCTTTGTTTGTTGTGCGGCCGAAACGATGGAAGAAGCAATTTGCGTTACTCGACTCCATAGTGTACAAAAACACAAGAATGTCAGGCCCGCTTCAGTCTGGACAACACTGAAGTGAGGTAGATGTGGCCACCCAAGCGAATATTGTCGCGACGAATTCTTTGAAGGGCGCCAGTTTATCGACGGTCACCCGATGCTACGTCGTCTGCACGCGAATAAATCGCGTTGCAACAATGTACCCGGCCACATACATCGCCGTAGCCCACTAATGTGGCCCCACTATTAGAATTATTAGTATTATCTATAAATATTCCATTTGTTTCGACAGTCTGACTACACCAATCACATAAACAAGTGTAATGCTCAACCCTCACAAGAACCAAAGCCACCAGAGGAAGTAACTAAGAAGAAATTCCTGTGTGACATCTGTGGGAAGACTGCACTTTCTAATGCAAGTCTATTAATACATAAGTAAGTTCTATAATAATTAAACAAGAACTCCGTTGTTTGGCTTACTCATATAATAGTTTACGAGGTTACTCAACTGGTTTCAAGTCATGTCGGGGACCCTTAAGACGGTAAACATCACGCAACAGCGGGCTCAAGTGTGATTATACTTTATGCTACATTTAACAATAACATATTTGTCTAGAAATACGTTTCCTGTGAGAATTTGTTTATCAGACTTATTGAAAAATATTTGGTACACGCGGCCACATCAATCTATGCAAAGCCAGTTTATCCTAGTGTCGCGTCGCATCATCTTTCCGCACATTTAACGTTCAGTTTATACTAGTTATGTAAACCTCGATGTGTAGCCGTGTGTACAAGCCCATTTTGATATTGGAAAACGTCTACTTACAGAGCCACCCATGAAAATGTGTTTCCCTACAAATGCGACGTTTGTCCGTATCAAGGTCGAACAATGGACCTGCTGAAGGTACACAAGAGATCTCATTTAGCTGATAAACCGTTCAAATGCACGCAATGTCCAAAAGCAACAACTACATCCAGTAACCTGGCTAAACATATGCGACATGTGCATAGCACTACAAGACCATACAAGGTATGTTGTATTTTTCATTACTTCCATCGATTTCTTCAGACTTTAATCAACCTAGCCTCATAGTGCTAAACTTTGCACTAGAAATGGGCTATTTAACTTTAACTTTTTGTTGATATACCCATCAATGGACGACGAAGGTCACTTATGATCTAGAGATCAGTGATCTGTCTAGTGCTTGCCCTCTATTCCTATATTTTTATAATATTAACTTTTTGTTTTTAGTGTTCATACTGCGAAAAGGCATTCTCCTACCAACACGATATGAAAAGGCATGTTAAAGATATACATTTAAGGCAAGGCACTGTTGAATGTGATATCTGTTGTAAAAAGTTTAATACAAAGTAAGTTTGTTTTAAACCATTGTAGTTACATGTATGTATAGCTAGTTTAATAATGTGTATGCAATGATTCATCATGTTATGTTTACACTTTATAGTTAAGTACATTGACTCACTTATCTATGTTTTATTTTAGAAAAATTTTACAAGGACACAGATGGAAAATTCACAAAATCAAAGGCGAAAGACAAGGTCGTCTGCCGTCGTACTTGCAGTGTCAAATGGGAAAACCAAATGATGAAAACGAGAGTGACAAGGACAACTGTGATCCAAATTGTTAACATTTACTAAGTTATCATAAAATTAAGTACAATTAGGTACCTAATTTCAAGAGTATTGCTTTGGTCTAGAATTCTATATAGACTTAGACAATATATACTCCTTGTTCCTATCATTGTTTTTGTAATATAGACAATGGACTCTCTTTTTTATCAAAGTGTAATGTTCTTTTTTCAAAGCCCCCAATACTAATTATAAATTCGGGTAATTTGGTGCTATGTTTTATTTAGTAGACTCCTATACTTATCGTTTTAATTATCCTAATTCTTGTTATCTCAATCTGTTTAAGAGCAGGACTAGTTGCAATCAGCGATTGCTCAATTTGTAGATATTCAAAATTAGATAGAATAACATATTTTGTAGCAACATTGCTGAACTATGTAATCAATCAACAAGAGTATTAACTAGCTTGAAATTATGAAAAGTATTATTATTTAAAATAGAATTACTTAATTATATTTATTTTATGTGTTATAGATTAATAATTTACGACTATTATTTACTTGCAGCAAAAGACTATTTTATTATTAGAAAGTAGATTGCAGAATGTAATATTGTAATGCAATTAAGATGATAGTATAATTTATGTACTGATGTATCTCTTTTTTACAATTACATAGAAGTTTAATATTGCAGATACTTTAATTTATTTGTGTCATTGTACCTTCTCGTTTGTAATAAATAATTATTTTATTGATATGAAGTAGCGTTTTATATGCATCTCACTTGGGCACATACTGTCGAAGTATACGGTCATGTAAACATTTATATATTTTTTGTATTGATCACTTCTATACACACAATGAGTAATTACAACACTGTGATAGCAATTCTACTATGGTTTCAATTCTGTGTCGCATTCGACTTACCGAGGGATGGGTGTCAAGCAGAACTGAATATTAACAATAATCAGTACAATGTTACTGATACCTATCATATCGGCGATGTGCACCCTACTGACGCTCACTACGATGTTTATGGCAACCTATTTTATGTGGAAACTGGACTTAACGACAAAGGATATTACTTTAACACTAATGTTATCAAATTCAAAACTACCGCTCCTCAAAAAATACCAGGTAAGTAGTTTTCGATTGCATCTACATACATTTCTTGGTTCAATTTCCAAAAAAAAATTATCATTTCACTACCTTTAATCAACGAAAAGGGACATTTTCAATCATCAGAGCTCGGAATTTGTAGGTACCTGGTTCTACAAGTACCTTGTTGTTACATAAAATGCTCTCTGTTACCTAAGCCCCCTTGGTAAAATACGCAAGTTAGCGTTCAGTAGACAAATATTCGACATATCTATCTACATACGTAGTATCTATGTAGTCTGTGATATCTACCCCTGCTTTCTCCCTTTGGGGAATAAGGTGACGTTATGTGTAAAATTAAATCATTTTTAAATTGTATAGGCTTACCGGAAGACATCAGTTATTCAGTAGCCATCGATAAAAACGAAAAGAAAGTCTACTTCGGCACAGGCAACGGTATTTTTGAGTATAATTACGAAAATCATTACGCCACTCCTGTTTCTAGCAGTGCCTTCAAATTGGACATGATATTTGTAGACAAATACAGCAACAAATATGTTACTGAAAACAATGATGGCGTTGAAGAATTATACTTATTAGACGACGAAATGATGAAGAGAATTCGCTTCAACAGTCTTGAAGTACTCAACGAACTGACCATTGATGACGACAATAATTTCTATTACATAAAAGATGGAAAGTTATATGTATTGAAATCTTATCTTTCATCCCCGCTTTGTATCGGCAATGTGACTTACGATGGAATGGCACAAATCGCTGTCCACAATAGTAATGTATTTATAGCAAGTGACGACCTGCTATATTTCCATGAAAATGATACAGGAGATATAAAGGTAGTCGACAATGCTCCCGATAATGTAACAGCGATAGCTTTTTTTTTTTTTTTTTTTTTTTTATTTGGTTCACAAAACTGAATACAATCTAACATACATATAAAATACCTCAACAAACTTAATTAAGATTATATCCTACTAGATGTGAACACGGCATGCATAATAGAAAAATCTTACATTACTAAATGGAAACAAAAACTTTTGATGACACTGGAGATTTTATACTTGGAATTCGCGGCAAGCTTCTAAAATACAAGAAACATGAATGCTACATAAGGAAACCTTAACAATGACCGATAGAAATAATTACTACTAACTAATTGGTGTTTTGAAGGATTCTCATCAATAAATAAAAATTTTGAATTGAATTTTAATATTAAAAATAAATTACATGGATAGGTACATGCCTAATTTCTTAATCCTCTAAAGCTAATCAGCAATATTGGTAAGTTGGTACTGGTATACATATTTTAAGAATACCATGTGATTGCTTTACTCAGTCTAGGTATTGAAACAAATTGATATAACTAATGTAAACAAACAATTACTAGTATTATTTATCGTATACAAAGCAACACACCACTTAAAAGTACAGTATAGGTCTATTGTCATACATAGACACGAAGCTAGTTCAATTTAATAGTTACAAGCTATAAATTAAAAACAAAAATAACCTTAGGACAATATTACACCAGAGATTTGTGAGTCTATAAAAACAAAAGTACAGTATGTTCCCTGTAAGATCATGTAAGAAATATCAGCACACACTGAAAATTTGAACTAATTATCATTAAAGTGCCTTTAACATAAACAATATACTATGTTAGGCGTGCACAGTCTACCTAGGTTCCTACTACAATAATATCATAAAAATACTGCTTCCTTTATTGTTTACAAGCACAATAAATTATTTAATAAGCAACATTATTTTGAAGATTCGTTTACATAATATTTAAATTCTTGCATTCAAGCATCAGACTGCTATGCCTCATACCTAATTACCTAACATAAAGAATTATTGATTAACAATAACTTTAAAATTATTGATAATTTCTTAATGTGGTAGAATACTTTGTGATATCATAGGGAATGTAATAGGCTGAGCCTGAGAATTACTTAATGCCATGGGCTGACTAGTGCTAGAGATAGTAATTTGCTGAGTAGATGTTTGATGGACCAACTGCTGCGCGGAGGGAACCAGCTGTTGCTGTGCGGATTGCTGGGCCGCCAGTTGCTGCGCCGACTGTTGCGCCACCATCTGCTGGGCCGACTGCTGGGCAGCCGCAGCCAGCTGCTGTGCCGATTGTTGCGCTGCAGCAGCCAAGTGCTGAGCCGACTGCTGTGCAGCTAAATGCTGAGCAGATTGCTGTGCAGCCAAGTGTTGAGCTGATTGCTGTGCAGCCAAATGCTGTGCAGACTGCTGTGCTGCCAAATGTTGCGCTGATTGTTGAACTGCTAAATGCTGTGCAGATTGCTGGGCAGCTAAATGTTGTGCAGACTGTTGTGCTGCCATATGTTGTGCAGACTGTTGGGCTGCCAAGTGCTGGGCTGACTGTTGGGCTGCCAAATGCTGAGCAGATTGCTGAGCAGCTAAATGTTGAGCTGACTGTTGTGCAAGGTGCTGGGCAGACTGCTGAGCTGCAGCCAAGTGTTGCACTGATTGTTGGGTTGCATACTGGGTAGCTTGGTGCTGAGGACCTAGTTGTGGTTGTAGAGCTGATTGCTGGACGAGTTGCTGAACAGCAGTTTGAGATGCATTGCTCATGAGTTGTTGTGCAGGTTGTGCCAAAGTCAACTGAGCTGGTACTGCTACAACAGTTTGCCCTCCACCCATAAGGGTACCAGAATCACTAACATGCATCAATTGTTGAGCTCCAGCACTAGTGACTATGAGAGCACCAGAATTCCCCATTAACTGTTGTGTTGTGCTCACTGTTAAGATTTGTGGAGCAGGAGTTAATAATTGTGCTCGAGAGGCTGCAGGAGCCAATGCCAAATTAGGAGTGGCTGCAGCAGGAACTAGTGTAGGTAGGGCTCCTGCCAGGCTCACTACTGGAGTCACACTGACAGTTGCTAGGGATACGGGTGCTGAAGTCCCATGTCTTGAAGTGATCACACAGGGCTGGCCAGTCCTCACAGTGGCTGCCTGTTCCAGTAAAAATTCATTCATAGAAGTTAACTGCACATTCTTTTCTGTTAAATCTGCAATTTTTTTCAAAAGCACACTTATGTTGTCATGTAGTAACTTTATTTTATGGTCTAAAGTTTCACAATTTGAGCACAAATGTTGCGTTGATAAAACTTGATTTTCAATACCATTTTCTTCATATGTAAATCTTCTTAATTTGGCTTCTGGAGGAGAATCTTCGTCTTTCAGAGGTGGTGGTGGGTGGGTGAACTGGTGAGGTGGGGGAACACTGTGTATGGGCACAAGTTCATGTCCGCTCACATCAGGTGGATGTAAATATTGACAATCTTGATTGTTACAGGCATTCACTGTATAAGCCTGGCATACTGGTGCATTTCGCGTACTATGGGGAAATTTGCCTGTAGCATAAAAATTATCTTCTTCTTCTACTGTGCTGTGTATGAATTTGCAGTTTTGTCTATAACATCCTTTGTTTTGATAATCATGACAAAATCTGAACAATTCCTTTAAACATGACTTCGGAGGTATTACATGTATGAATCTGCAGTTTTCTCGAGTGCAACAACCGCGAATATAATCTTTGCAGTAACAGTTTGCGGCCGGGTAGGTCTTCTCACCAGCGTCGGATGTGCTCATTGCACCGTCAGTATTAGTAGTAACGACCATAATTAATTTAAATATCTTTAAAAATTAAGCAAATCACATGTTTTCATTGTTTGCTCTTCTTTCAATATTCATTCAAGACAGCAGAATAGTGTTAACCGTTGAGACGTTGGTTGTTACCTTGCTTCTAAAAATCTTCCGGGCTTGGCACTATTCATCTTGACATACTATTAGCACAAATCACACACATTTCATACATACAATTAATTTTGGTCTAACAATATGCATGCTTCGATAAATTTTATCGTATTCGTAGTTTTGTACGTAGTTCAACAAAATAAAAATGTAGACATTCAATAGACATTGACGAACGAATGTTTTGATATCTGTCGGACTTCTGTCATGCATGTGCCTACAGACTGCACAGAATTATTCATTCGTTTTTATTCCGATTGGAATATATAACTTTCCCTACAAGAAATATAAAAATATTACTAAACATCTCAGATTATTAAGCATGCAAATGGTTTAAAACATTTGTAACAAGCATTTAGAGCATTCTTGTATGCGAATAATGTACATCAATCAAAGAACGAATGACAAAGCGACAGTGAGCTGAGCAAGTGAGTGAGGGAATCAGCATCACACCCACACCCGAACGAACGAACGACGAAATCAAATAATCAAAAACATGGCGGTGACTGTTCAATGAGTAATAAACACTATTGTATTTTTATTATTAAGTTGTATCGGCTTCGTATTTTATATCTAACATGTCCAAAGTGTACAGGATCGTTATAAAAACTGATACGTAACACAAGAATAATCATTTTATCACATTATGAGGTAAGTTTAATTCATCTGCACACACTACATTTGCTACTATTTTATTTTCATTGTATCCCACGTTGGATTGTGTTAATCCATCTATGTTTCGTGTACTTTTAGGTAACTTCAGAAAGAAGAATGTTTAAGCAACAATTATCGCCTCGCACAGTACACCCTTATCAAACAACGGTGGTGTCTAGGAGCGAACAACAATTTGCATCGGCTGCTCAACAAAGGGCAAAGTATCCGTGGGCGGAGGATATCAACACTCCAGTCTATCAAGTTGCAGGAACCGACAGTTCTACGTCCGACAATGCCTACCATGTAAGTTTATGATGCCTTGAAAAGCAAATTAATATGGGATTAGCTTTGAACCAGTTCGATCTTTCCAAGTGTCGGTAAACAAAAATGTTATAGTTACATACCCATAACAAAATTTTTAGGCTAAAGACATTTTATTTCAGATGCCTCACTACTATAATGGTACTGCGCGAGAATATGGTCCACCATCACCCGTGTATCAAGCTCCATATGGAGGAGGAACTTGGCGCAGCTACAAGAAAGTAGAGAAAATTCCGACCCATCTGCCATCTACAGAGACTTACTCGTTCCCACAGTGTGCCTCTGCTTTCTCACTACCTTTGTGTGATGTGGAGCCTCATACACAGGGTGTGAACAGATCCCCTATACCTCCTGTACCCTCCATTAGTCCAGAAGTACCCATTATAGGAGCTTGTGGGGGTCATTGCCCAGGATTTGAATATGTGTGCTATTATATTTTGCAGGTGATGTTCAATTTATCTAATTATTTTGATTTTGTAATAAGAATGAACTGAATAAAAAATCAGTGAGTTTTTTATTCAATGTGAGTTCATTTTTTTTCTATCTTGAATGGTAACCACTTTTATAAATTTAACTTTTTTACAAAGTATAATTTTCAAGTACCTATACAGAAATGTGCCATGTATTCCATTGTTATTATAATTTCATACCATTCTTATTTTATGTATTTCTTTTCAGGTTATTTTTGTAGTTGGTATCCTGACTGGAATATCTCTATGTATTGCTGGAATTGTATTAAGGCGGACAAACCGCAATGGAGATCTTGGTGTATTAGTGTATATAGGTGAGTTAGAGAGTTATTCAACAATTTACTTTTTCAAAATTGCAATAATTTATAGCCAAACTAGTTGCAGAAACCTCCATTGAGTAGTGCTTAACTTTTTCAATAGTTAAACAAAAATCAACACAATTCACAAAATAAAGCTAATTATCCTTTTATCTGTTGAAACACCGGCTCCCGGTATAAAACACATTATACCCGCAACTTTCAAAAGACAAGCATGCATGCATTATTTTAATTCCGGACTCAGGACTTGAAAATTATCAACACCAAAATTAAAATATTTCAAAAATAACAATTCATGCTACACATGTTTGATATTTATGCAGAATATTTAACTCTCTGAAATTATCCAGGCTCCACCCACACATTACTCACAAGAATTATAGCTTTTTTTTTTTTAGGATGCTTATCTTCTTGCGTGTGCGGCGTTTTACTAGGCGTCCAATGCTGTGTTCGTCGTGAAATTAGACAAAGGAAACTGCGTGCCAATATGCATATACCAATGCAATCAATTCAAGTAGGTATTTTAAAAGAATTAATGTGCCTTTAGGAACATTTTATAGTTAAAAATTCATTATTTAATGAATTCGATTTTCATTTTGTGTGTTTATGTTTCTAGGAACCTCCTGCCCAAGCTTGCCCATTGTTGACATCCACATTACCTCATAGTCGAGTATATAGGTATCAGAGATGTGAATTATTTGAAATACATGCATTTTAATATATACATATTTTTATTTTATATTTCAAATACTTATATTGAAATGTATTTACAAGCTTTTTAATAACTTGTAATATATTTTATGCATGGGTATATTTCATTATTATAACCAGACTTTCGCTTACTAACACATGTAGAGTAGTCAAATAAGGATATTTTTAACAAAGATTGTAAATAATTCTCTGGAGAGTAAAAACATTTCTATGTAACTATCTAACATTTGTATGGTTATGTAAAATCGCGGGTTACTCACGTGAATATACTGAAAAATTTGTATGGTAAAAGGTGTTGAGGCACCTATACCTACTATATGTAAAATGGGAACTGACTAAATCCAGAATGGTGGACGCGACGAGTGCGCAGGTAAGACAGGTAGTAATTTTTGGCGAATTTTAAATTCATATGACCACGTCTGCCGTGTGGAAATTTGAAAGTAAATTATTATTATTGGAAAATAACAATAGCAGAACATTATCACCAGTTTAACATTTTTTTATCATAATTTATTTACAGGGTCTTTTCTTAAAAGAAAACGACACCCCAATTATTGACTACAAAAAATAAAAAAGAACACTTATAAGACTTTTAAGGGGGAAAAAATAATCAAATGACTTCTCCCGCCTAGGTGAGGCGGGAGGGAGTGTTAGACTGTTACTGACTAAAAACCACGCCGTTCTTTCTCCTGCACTTCGAGCCGGAGCCCCGGTAACCCGTTAGGTTCTCCGCGACTCTGAATCGGCATCAGCCCTATGGTCTGATTCTGGTCGGGCGGCGAGTCACCCATGCTCGCCGTCCGTAGGCCCGCGCTTACGGTGGCCGAAGATCGTCTCGCGGTACCCGACTCCCGGAGTGTCACTCGCGATGGCTTGGTTGCGAGGAGGTAGCGCTTCGCTGCCTCACGCGTCCTGCCTCCTCCTTAGCTAGCATGACTGCTTCGCAGAAGGAGGAGACGGCATCCAGGTCCCCCTCGCTCCACATCATGACCCGCACTAGGGCTGGACGCGAGAGGTCGCCGTCGCCGATCACTTCCCTGAGGGCACGGTGGTGCTCAGCCCACGCAGGGCATTCCGTTACAGTGTGTTCCACCGTATCCTCAGGGCGATCCTCGCTGTGATGACACCCGGACGTGTCCTCCCGCCCCATCAGACACAAAGTACCTCCCGAAACTTCCATGTCCGATAAGGACGTTCTTCAGGCGGTAGGTGAGGACGCCGTAGCGTCTCTCAAGCCACTCCTCAAAGAGGGGACTTACCGCTGCAACGGCAGCGACCCCAGCCCTCGGTTGCGACAGTCGTTGCTGCCATTCCGCCATGAGATCGCGCCGGAGCTTTTTCCGCCACCTTATAAAAGACTTAGATTTAAGTTACCCTACCCGACGCGTTTAACATTGTGGCAGAGAATTAGTAGAACTATTAAAATATTGACAATCATATCAGAACTGAGGTTGATTCATGATTTGGATCAAACCTTTATTAGAGACTGACACAATAATATCGTAGAAATCGTTTCAAAGTTTTCGATTTATTTTGAATCGGTTACAAAACTAAAATAATATAAAATTATGACTTTACATAATATAGGTACATCGGTTTTAAAAACTTGTAACACAACTCTTAAACATGTTTGTTATTTTAATTATAATACATTGTGTAATTATTATTGTATCGCATGCGCCTGCGCGTTACGAGTAATATGCTTAGTAGTCAGCCACCGAAATGACTGTATATTTTAATTTTCAACATAATAAATCGTTTCATTTTGTGCCCCAAATCGATTTATTATTGTATGTATATTTTATCGGTTAGATAATTCAATCGATATTTTTACACGATTTTATCACCACCATATGTCTAGTGAAACTTCAATTCAAATACCAAACGTTATCACAAAAACTGTCAGATCGCCATAACCATTTTACTATTTGCAGCACTCTGCAACAATGTTTATACTGATAAAGGTGCTCCCACACAGCAGTTATATAACGTTAGAGACTGACTTAAAATTTATTTTTAAACAAATTGTAAGTAGCTAGATTTGCTACAAGTTTGAAATTAACCTACATAGAGGAAGCACAGTGATTAATGCCCAAACCTTCTCCGTGCGAGCTTTGGTCAGCAGTAGCCTCTTATAGGCTGTTGATAACGCATTCTCATCAGAATGCAACCTCTGCATTCTGACTCCACAAAAAATAACAGCTCCGAGAATTATTTCCAATCTTTCTGCAAATTTTACATCATTACCTACACGATAATAACAAATACTATTAATCATAGAGAACTAAAAGTAACATTTTATACATTACAGACCCACAGTAAATATATGTGCAGAAGAAGATGTGACCGGAGTTCCTTGGTGGCGTCGAAATAACAGAGACTGACTAGTTTTAAGTTCATAATTATACACTCACTTGTGTATTGAAATATTGTAATTTTATTTGCGTAAGGATATACAATTAATACCATGATCTTGTTATTTTTACAATAAATATTATTAATGGATACATAAAGAGCTTTTCTTTTATTTATTGTTATTGTCGTAATACATATTATTAGAAAGGAGACTGAAGTATGTATATGTCGTAGGATAATTTGATACTTCGAATGTTCGCGGAAATCCTAGGGGTTTTGCGAAAACGCGGATAATTAGACATAGGCGAAAAATTATCAAATCTTACTGGACAAAGTCAGGATTTTTGCGAAAATACTCGTTACTATAGTAAGATTTGATGTGCTCAATAGTGATTGGCTACAATTTTGCTGGCTGACTTCTAATTGGTTCCTAGTTTGCCGATGATTAACTTCAAGTATTGTATCATAGAGTTATGAAGGTTTAGAATAGGTGAGAAAGAAAAATCACTAAATTGATTTTTATAAACCTTTTATTGAAAATTTTAGTATGTATGTTGTTTTCTACAGACAATAGAAGATCTCAGTCGTAGTAAAAAAAATGATCCAATTTTAGGGAGTAATCCATAAATTGGATGAAACTGGTCGTTTAAGAAGACGAAAAAACATTTAAGTCGTCAACCAATCAGAGACGATCTCTTATTGAACGCGCTGACCGACCAATCAGCGTTCTTATTTCATAACAGCCAGCGTTTCGTTTCGCAATCTTACTATAGTAATGAGTATTTTCGCAAAAATCCTGACTTTGTCCAGTAAGATTTGATAATTTTTCGCCTATGTCTAATTATCCGCGTTTTCGCAAAACCCCTAGGATTTCCGCGAAGATTCGAAGTATCAAATTATTCTACGACATATACATGTGTTCTTAAAATCTTTACCATTGCAGTGCTAATTACAAAATTCAAAAAAGGAAATATTCACAAGGTTCCAGAAGCCTCAGTACGAGTTTGTTTTACGTTGAAAGTAATCGAAATGAGACCGTGTCGGCGCTGAATGGTTGGTTCACTGGAGCCGGCGCGTACTCGTTTCGATTACTTTCAACCTACAGCGAGTCGTACTAGCCCTCGGAAGTTTGTGACAGTGAATTGTTCCTTATCTTCCATAAGAATTCACTGTACTTACTTTTAAATGAAAATAAATAAAAATCCTTTTTCAAGTACAATTTTAATTATTATTCATCCAAACGATTTGACATTAATAAGTACATCGTTAAAAAAAAAAGTATGAAAGTAAATGTAGATACTTCCTCACAAGCTATATACCATTAAGATGGTCAAAATAAATAAAGTATAATATGGGTATTGCAAAATTACATATTTTTGTAAAAATTAAATTTAAATAAATTCAGACCAAGAGAGCATAGAAGTATAGCATCTAAGCAGAAAATGTATTGAATACAAAAAATATAAATTTTCTCCAATTGTTTTATTCGTTCTTCACTTTCTCCTAGTTGAACCGATTGCGAATAACATCTTTATAAGTATATCCTTAACATTAGTAATATAAAATCAATAGATATTTTAGAAAATATAGGTACACAACTTTGCTAATTTCATAGCAACAAAAGGAGTGATGTTAAAATATTGCAAGTTTCAAATATAATACGTTTAAAGAGAGCTCGAAATAAATTAATATAATGTTTTGTAAAAATAAAAAATAATTAAATGCTACGCATTCCATACAGTTTCACAATCCATTCTTAGACAATCTTACAACTACCACGATGGCCCATACGCTTAAATCTAAGGACGGTCAAATAAAATCAATGGGCTAAAAAAATATGTGATGAAAAGGAAGTGATAATAAAATACTGTATCTAAACTACTAAGTGGTGATGGGTTTTTTTGTGGTGGTACGGAATATAGTTTCCATAAATTCTTTCCAAGCGGCACATAGAAGGATGGATCTTATTTATCAAAGGTGAAAAATATACTAAGTTTCACTCATTGCAGCGTACATTTGACGAGTCTGTAGTAAACTAGCGATCCAGTCCAATAATCGCACATACGCACCATACATACTTACAAATATATCATTTCCAGAACTGTATATTGAGTCTACAATAAAACTAAAACGTCTTTTGGATAAGTACTTTAAATCAATGTTTGTTAGCAACTCGACTAAATTAGTAAGTCATAATTTTATTGAATTACAAAATACAAATTAATTATATCTACTTAAACAGTTGTGGAAAATGTATTTGCCTCCTACATTTAATATTTTAAAATCTATAAATAATAACACAATTCAAAGGCTGCCGTTCTGAAATATTCAGATTTAGAGAGAAAAGCATAAGTCTACTTTAAGTTATATTACCGACATTTCATCGTCCAATCACTTGCTATCATCTATTAAGATAAAGGACAACACACAAAAAAATGAAATTCCTCTTACTTAATACTAAAATGTAGAAAATAATGTGCCAAATGAAATACTGAAATTGTATTATATTGCTGTATAAAAAGAAAATTTATATAAAATAATTTAAGGGTTGTATAAAAAAAATTAAGGACTTACTAAATAAATATCAAAATTGGTGGGGATTAGGAAATATAGAATAGAATGTAAGTATAAACGTAATATATCAATAAATTATTTTTACTTATAAAGAATAGTAGAGTGTGGAGTAAAAAATATAGAGTAGATAATCCAAAATGTCAAACAAGTAGTACCTACCTACTAATTTTGAGATTTATCAGTTTCAATTGCAATAATTTAAATTGGGATTATAATGTTATGATATTTGATATCTTAAATGTGACAATACACATTCACATTACAACTTACTTCCGTAAACCTGGACAACAATTTGGCCTCTTGACTTTTACTAATTTATCAAAAAATAAACGCGAATTTTACCAAAGCTTCATACAATATTGCAAAATAGTGTTAAACACTCAGTACATACAATTTGTCAGAATAATGTTACCACTTAATTATAAATACAATGTGTAGTATACATTTAAATGCATGATGATCTTAATGATGAGATTAAAGATTATGGAATCTGAACACTTTAAAGAATACTTATTAAACATCTCTTAAATATAATAATCTTGTAAATAAAATAAACATTTACATACATTGTATGTAATTATAAGAAACATTTGCTTGTACCTACTTCTTATTCTTCTCTGACAAAGGTCAGGGTTTTGTGGTCATTGCTATATTCCTAGCAAGCTGTCATACTTATCAAATAACTCTATATTTAAAGTAGATATTCATGAAGATGTTCATATTTAAAGGATATCTAAATACCACGATTACTTAATACTAAATATTAACGCGAAAGCATGATAGAGCAATTTAAATTATAAAAATTATCGAAATTTGAATTACAGTGCATCACAAAAAATCAGACAGGTAGTATCACATAAAACAAGCACACATTATTGGCGAATAACACAAATTAATCGCTAAAGTGTTTATGAAAAGTACTTCTTTACTTTGTACCAAAATGCAACCTTAACATAATACGGACTATGGACACGAGACTGTCGAGACGAGCGGCGTTAAAGATATGTTACTGATACGAAGTTTAAAAGCCTATACATTGCGATGAAATATCATAAAAATAAATTCTATGTTACTTATGCTTAGCTACGTAACGTATCTCTAACACCGTTCATTACACAATTAGGGGGACTTTATGTCTAGCCTAAGCTCGTAAGAATAATCTCGTTATATCATAGAATAATCGTATTTACGCAACAGACGGCCTGCCATCCAACATTTTGTCGCTTTCCTCTGCACTGCTCAAGCTGAAATAAGAAATATTGTCATGTAAAGTAACGGTGGTGCGCTCGAGTTTAACAAATCGGTTGGTCACGCACGAGTATTAGTTATGCTACTCAGCTATGTACAATTTCCAGTACAAATATCGTATCGCATCGGTGTGATCACACAGTCTCGTTACAGCCTAGGAATTGTGAAGTAAACAAGTCAAGACAATGGCGCGAACTTTAACATCACACAGTGAAACAAGACAACGTGGGCATGTGTAACAATAGATACTCGTGGTGCTGGTATAGTTTTAGTAAACACATTATTATACTTCAACTAGCCTCTGTATATTGCAACAGCTATTGGAACTGAAAACCGTCTTCTAAAAAGCTTCTACTACTAGAAGGTTGAGAAAAGTTCTTTAGAAAATAGCCAAGATTTAATACAATATGTGACTGACCTCGGCGATGACTCACGATTTCGAAATACGTAATTGCATTCAAAATCCTACGCAATATGCTGACAAAAGAGAACCGGTGACGTTTAAACAATAAACTGTAATCATTGTTGCATTAGCATCAGAACGACCGGCGACCCTCACAAATCGACATTCAAATACCGTTAAGGGATGTTTGATGACTCAATTCTCAAAGATGTCTCATAGCATGATGCAGTTACGGAATTTTGATCATTAGCACCACGTTAGTAACGAATCGTCATTATTTCAGCGCCAAAATTTTCAACGTTCATACCAATTAATATATTTTCAAAAGTCTAACTCTAAAATCTGAGCCCTGGGTGTCTATAACGTTTAATTTCAGCCTAATGGTTTGTAGTAACATGTGTCTCATTCATTTTTGTATTCTATTTGACAACGTTTATAAATCAACTCATTTATTAAACAGATAAAAATTATTATCCTCACCAGTCTTTGTTGTCCATGAGATTGCGCATTTCATCATCAGGCGCGGGCGGGGCGTCGCGCACGGGCGCGTACTGTGCAGCCACAAGAGGATCGGTCGAAGGGTTTAGCGCTGTGAGGGCTGCAGCTCCACTCGCCGGCGCTTCTTTGCCATTGCCCCACCTCGATGAGTACGTTGAAATGCCTAACACTAAGACAAAAAGTATAATATTAGAGACCTAGATACATACCCTACATAACCAAAATTAAAAAAATTAAGATATAGGAAACTAACAACTTTAGAGTTAAGCGCAAATTGTGTGAAGAAGACAAGGTTCTGACTATAAAATTGTCATTCAAGATGTTATGAAATAATGGTCCGCTACAGGCTAGTGACTACACCGTCATTCGCCTTCAGTAGGTATTCGCTACGCCGATAAATTGTCACACGTTGCGGAAAATCTGTAGATAGCCAGTATACGTAATATAAAGGGCTGGATGTTCAACATGAGGAGCATCAACCCGATCCTGTGTCGTGTAATGAAGTCATCATATGCTTTTTACTTCCAGCCCAAGTATTGCTTCAGGGCGCATCACATTCTTTATTGTAGGTAACTGTACCAAATATTGAGTTAAAAAAAGGAATAAGAAATACAGAATAGAATAGAGATAATAAGGTAAATAGGAAATAAATAGAGGTAAAAGGTAATATTAGTGTTGTGTTTGAAAATTATCATTTATCAACTTACCAAGTGAAGATCTAATATGGCATTAATTTTACTTTTTAAGGCAATTGAATAGAACTTGTTTATAGGAATTCCTCATTCAAGTAGGTACGCTTATTAACAAATGATTAGTCAAATGTCGTCATTACTATTCGTGTTCAATGCAAAGTTATATTCAAAAGGCAGAGGTCCACATCGGCTTAAATTTTGTCATAACACGTGGGTTGTGTATATCGTAATCAATCCTCACACTGCGATACACGTGTTCTGTCGATCTTACAATTTATTGGAATATTTTCTATATAAAAATATGTACAAAACCTCACGTCTTTATCCTATAAAAAGGTAGAAACCTCAGAACTTTACATCAATTCTAGTTTCCTCGTCCAGTTTCATAACTAGCCTGTATGCAGCACATCAAAAATGATACGTTCAAGGACAACGAATGGATTTTTGTTGCTAACACATTACACTACATGGTCAACAAAAGGTGAGTTTACTACACAAGCGATTGGATCGCGTGGGCCATTTTTAAATGCACCTTATCTATTCTTACGTAAAGGTCAGAAGAAGGCTTGGCCGGTGGTTAGATTGTGATGTGACTGGGGCGTAAATGTTACACTTTAATTCAACGAAGCTAAGTAAAAATAAATTCTAAAAACTCTACGGTAGCCTATGCGGCCAGTGTTATTTCATTCGAACAAGATTCCTTGAATGAATTATAAATGTTTACCAAGAAGTGAAGTTTTGTCCGTCTTCAAAAATAGACTGAAAGCTTATATTATAGTTCTGGGTTTGTTTAATTGCTCGAGGGGAGTTTGTTGGTAAACATTCTCGTTTTTATGACCAACTTAGAGGTCTGCTTTGCGTTATAAACTTTTACTCATACATTCTATCCTGCAGCTGTAGCCAAATGCCATTTAGCGCTTGTCTACATGTAGAATAGAAACCAAATTATATGGAATTGACGTAAATTTTGGCACTTGTCAGTGTCATCCCCGTACATTTTGATTGCTCTGTAGACAAGCGCTAAAGTGGCGTTTGGCTAAAGTCCCCGTATCGTAATGCTAAACCTAGATAGGCATTAGTTAATTAGTTATCCTTCGTTTACAGCCGGTACTCATATACAGCCAGACAATCTACAAACAAACATGTATCAGTGTAAAATATTGATGTGCCCTTCACCCAAGAGGTTATTTTCAGTATTTCTAAATCTTTATAAATGTATTGACTTATCTCAATATCTCATACAACTTGTAGAAGAAATATGAATATAGCAGGCGTTAAATTATATAACTTACTTATGATTGAAGTACAAATGTAGGTGTGTAAGTTGTCATACCATGAATAGAATGCACTTCAGAAGATTACTATGTACCCAGTAAGTAGGTAATCTTTATTGCCGACACATCCGTTCACGATAATTTGATTACTAGGCTTGATAGAAACAATCTTTAGGTGAAGTCATGCCGAAGAAACTCTCATACCTACGTAACGTAATGACCATAAAATTTCTCGAAACGAAATGTATTTGTAATGAGTTCGAAGTAATCACTAAAAATAGAAATAGTTTATCTAAACCTGTATCATGTTTAGAACAAGGACATAGAAGAGAGAATTCAGAAGGCCCATAGGTTCGACTTAGGCAAGTAGTTATTAGATTACAATTACCAACATATTACATAAAATCACGCCTTTTATCCCCGAAAGGTAGTAGTAGGCAGAGTCGCACATTACGGCACTTAATGCCACTGTACAATGTAACACCAACTTTTCACTATTTACATTATGAGTTCCATGTAATAGGGAGTGAGCTTATTGCCATATTATTATACCGGGCACATTTCCAATTACAATTACCACTTCTCTAAAACATTAATAATAGGCTAGACAACGACAGTAAGCTCTTAGGGAAAGGTAATCAATAATACTTATACTTACATCCAGATACCATTCCTAAGCATATTAAGACACTGCCTGCGACCAGTTCGCCGACGCCATTTTCGAAGCTGTGAGGGTCCGGTTCAGCCGCGTTCGAGAATTTCACACCACCCACGATAATCAGCACCGTTCCTGATGGCAAAATGACATAAAAGATAATAACAATAATTTAAAAATAATAATGTTACTTAGAAACTAACGATCGGAAGTAAAAACATAGTAAACTTTAATCTTTTACAATATACAATGTCAAGTATACACCGTACTTTAGGTTGTCTCACAAGTGTGGACACTTTGAAACTATTTTCTAGTTCTTGTTGATAGAATTCGACGTGGAGGGCTAAGGGGGAGGCCTTTGTCCAGCAGTGGACGTCTTTCGGCTGTTGATGTTGATAGAATTGGATGCCTATGTGTGTTTTTCGGATCTTAGTAATGAAAATAGTATCGAATTAATTATAATGAATCTCAATAAATAATTTATAGTTGTATCTTTATTTAGAGGTAGATAACTCCAACCACAAACCAAACCGCAATAATATTGAATTAGAATATGATCCACAGGCTGTCCTTATTATAGCTGACGATTTACATGATGTGACAGTAACAGCAGTTATTAGCACGTATGTGAACTAAACAAGCCAAACAAAACTACGTTCTTGGCATCTAAAGTCAATATGTGCTCATTAATTTTAAAATTCATGTTGATTTGTCTACAAACGTGATGCTATGCCAAAGTATAGCAAGTACCTTTTTAATGATAGCTCGGTAATGTTTTGTCTACATGAATGAATGATTAGAAATATAAAGGATCCCATCAAGCTTGACATTTTTTGAATAAATAATGTTATGGACTACCTTAGCTCTTGCCACAAAAAAGCCATTCTTCGGTTAGGCTGGCCTTAAAAATAACTTATTCAAAGCCTGACTAGAAGAGCAAATAACACTTTTACGGTACCTAGGCACATTTTCGTTTTAGTTATAAAACGCATATCAACTTTATTTATTTACAATTTAATAATAACATCTAATTTTAGCTGTACATTGTTATCTAAACCCCATAAGTAAATCACACCATTGCAATAATAAATCAGTGAATTTCCTCTCATTGTTATTGGTCACTCGTTATCCCTATGTAGGTGTCATCTAATCAAATACTTTAAATAAATTAGTTCAATAAATGTATGAGTACCATAGTTATCCCTATCACAATAGCATTTGTCATTATCAGTCTTCAGGTTTAATTAAATCTATAGGTCATCGTACTAGCAATGCATACAACATACTCGTACATAGTATGAATCACTGCATCGGCACTCTATGCTAATTACTATTGCAATCACCAGCGGAAATAGATGAGGTCAAATCTTTATTTACTATGCATAATCATCTCGAGACTGCAGTTATCCTTTGATTATTATAACTTTTACAGCTTAGTGTAAATGAATACTCATTATTAAACAGTTTATAGTAGATGTCTTAGCATTCGATTTCTTGTTTAGAACTACCCAGGTCCATTTCTGGGTAAAACCACAACGAAATAGTTGTAAATATTTTTCCAACTAGGTATAACTAATAGAACAAAATTCACATGGTATAATACCTACGTACATTATACAAATCGATGGATGATATCGACATAGACGCGAGTATCGCGTTCGAATTCGAATGATATGATCGCATCTCGTGGTCACAGACTCACAGCAGTGCAACCGCACCCAAGACTTGCGCAAAACAAGAAACACGAGACCCATTATGATATACCAGTCTTGGTAAAATTGCAGTAACCTCACAAAATAACTCTCGTTCGTAAAATAAATCCGACACATTGGTCGTGAAGGACTCAACTTTAAAAACAGACCCAATTTTTTCATGTTTCCATAACAAACATTGATACGTCATGACATCGCTGCAAATCTAACTAGGTACTTAAAATAATTTTATCTCGTTTCTTGTTCTAAAATAATGAACACTCCTATAAAAACAGGTGCCTTAGTTACGTCATTCAAACGGCAATGTTTAAAACATAAGGCCAGCAAATTTAGTATAATCATTTTGCTATGTTAAGAGTATAATGATATTAAAATGAATAAAGAACCAATTCACCTTGACAACTCGATGTTCGCCGGACGTGAACCATTTACCAGTTTTATGTTAGTCTTAGATTAGGCGGGAGACTTGATTTAATCTAAGTACACCAGTACTTGACTTGGTTGGCTTACCTAAAGAAACTATTTACGTCTAAAACAAAATCCCTAGCTACAAACAAAAATGTTTAAATAACGAAAAGATTTCCCAGTGACTCAGACGAACACGTATTTGGACTTTCCCAATTTCCATTATAAGTAGGGGTGGGTGCACGAGCTAGGATAAAATTATTGTCTCTTGAAATGTCTCTTTCTTCCTTTTGTGTTAAATAAATCGTGAATGATATCAATTTTTAGTTTAAGCTGTCTGGCTCAATTAGACTCGTTGACACTGCAAAAAGCAATACAACGTGACATAGAAGAGAACACTAAAAACGGGAATGGATGTATTAATTAGGTCTAATTTCCTTTTATCAGATAATGACGCAGGTTCCTGTAATTATGGTAATTATTGTCACCAAGTTTTAACGGATGTCATCAGTGGACAACCAACTACGAACTGAATGCATGAATACAATTACTTTGGTACTATATTTACTAACTAGTTACAGTCACTCGGAACAGACAAAATGCTATCTAGAAATCTAGACACATATGTATAATATTTACTTATTAAAGAAAAGGATTTCTTTGTTTCAACTTCGCCACACTTAAGGGTCAACGACATTTGTATTAACTGCATAACGTTACCTTGCTCCGAGACAAAAGTTTATCTGGAGAAAAATATTAATATATGTATGTATGTATTAAGAAGAAACCTCATTCCAACATGAAAAGAGAAAATCAAGCGTTTATTTTACCATACATACTATTGTTTTTTAATTTAACCTACGTATGTTTGTGAATGCTCACGTGGGTTGGTGATTCAACTGCGTTAGTAATCTCTAAATGCAGATCTGAGTAACTAATTGGAAGTTTATAAACAAAAAGTTCATGGTTAGCTTAACTCACGGTCTTTTACGATATTTTGTGTTATTTCATTTACTCAGTTTTGAGTTGCTTTATTTGAATAACTTTTTGGCTTTTTTAAAGCCTCGACATAAATTACGCAAGAACTAAAGAGAAGTAAGTTCGTGTAAATGGATTTTTGAATCTGTTTTTGATACAACTGATTTCATTGATTGGGTGTTTCGAAGACGTTCAAAACTGTATGCTGTTTTTAAATTCATAAAAGTTGCAATGAACAACCAAACATTGAAGTCTCAAAGCTATTAATAATGCGCTTAAAAGTATTTCGTTCTACTTTAGTATCTTGCATAATTATAAATGTTTAATTTACAGAAATTTGTAACAGAGGTGGGCAGACATCCTACGCCTACTGTATAACAGGTGGACAGTGGTACAACTGGTACACAAAGTAAACTAGCGAATGTTAGTCCCTACCGACCTACACATAAAACAACAGAGTTGTGTGGAAGGGTTCAAGATGAAAATTAACATCAAATAAAGAAATGACATAATTCAATTGTACTTATAGTATTTCAATAGGAAATAGTCCGGCACGAATCGAAGCATTCAGTTCAGCAGAGAACCGGTTTCGATCGACGTTCTACTACGCCTGGAGCATTGCGAAAATGGGGCACTGCAGCGGAAGGAGTAGGTTAAGGTAGTGGGCAGCAGGCAGCTAACGCATTAGTGATTCATTAGAACTTGCCGGCTTTCACCCGTTGTGGAACTAGAACAATAAACACCCGCGCGGTAATCTATAGCCACTTAGACACAATTTCATATTCCATTTGCATTGTGTACAGACTGACATAATCCAGTTTTCATCGTTAACGGTACATATTTATTCTGCAAGCATTCTCCATTGTCCTTTTTAGCGTTAGGATGTAAGATATATCAACAAAGTAGTGTTCTCAAGGAAGACTCCCGACGAATTAGTTTTTGCATTATCCTATTTTCTTCCTGAGTTGTTAAACTATACTGCTCATCTGCTGGGAGTCTTACTGATATGATAACACGAAAGCTTAAAACGTGGGTATTAAAAGGTTTTATTGTTAGACCTTCAATGCCGACAGATTACGACAGCGGGATTCGTGTTTCGCCCACGGGCGAGGAAAGTAGGTAATGACTTTCCTTCGCTCCACGAGGTATAAGTTAAGAATGCTGGCTGTTGTACCACTTGGTACTTGGTTGAACGTTCCTCGATTGGATGCTAAAGTTTTTGTCGAATTGTTTACTTACGCAATAACTTTCATACGTTAACCAAACGTAACCACCTTTGAAAAGAATTTTGGCAGGTTCAAATTATCTAAATAGTTAGTGAAGCGTGAGCGCAATAATGTTTAATAAAAAATAAGCTTTCCAAGAGTGACTCGCTCGCGTAGATTGTGTAGCCACTTATATCTCTCAGATGAAGATAGGTACATTCAAACTTCTAAACAAGAGTTTTTTGCCGCAAACGAGGTCATGTTAATTGTTTTTAATTGGACATGTACAAATTGATGGCAGATTAAAACAACTAAAATAGAAAATGTAGCTACAAATAGGTTTGGGGAAACCAAAACCTATTTGGGTTAGAGGGACCCAGTTAACGAACTGATAATTTTTTGTACACTACGTAAAATAAACTTTAAAGCATTTCCACAAAACTACCTGCATAATTTATTTAGGTAGGTAAACCCTCTCGAGTGTGTTTGTGTGGCGTGTCCAAGGACCAAAGTGGAAGTGAATAAAGCACCTATTACGGAAACGTCATGGCAGTCGAGCCTCGGTGGAGTTTGTCGACCTTCGCTGGTAATGCCTGTTCCATTAAACATCACAGCCGGTGTATTCTACTAGACCTGTAATTCGTACGCCCTCTGATATTAACTTTTAATAATTGATGAATTATATTCTTCTAAAACGGTAAGTAGTGTAGAGTGTTGTTGTAGATAGATACCTACATGATAAGTTGTATTTAGTGTTTCTGTTTAATTTAGAACTCATGTAGGTATATTGTGTACTATTCCCAGGTGTCAAAGTCAAAATCATTTATTTCAATTACACCAGGGAGGCACTTTTGAACGTCAACAACAAAGATTTAGAAGTGAAGATAGTGGCTCATTCCAAAGTGTAGGTTCCTATGGAGAAGAACGAGCAATAAACTCCATAGGTTACTCTTTTTCAATCGGGTTTACAATACAATTCTCTAGTTACATAGTTTTGTTGGTTTGATTGTGTGAGAACAATTCAAAACCTTAGTGAAACTATTTAAATAATGTAGGTACCTATCTAAACGAATTATTATTTTTTTCATCCAAATTTGATTCAGTTCTATAAAACATATTTTTACAATTATTTATTCACTTGTGAACAAGTAGGTAGTTAGGTTCGGAAAAAATGGTCACGCGACTCGCGAGTCACCTCGAAAAGTAAACAAAAACATCGCTTAAGAAAAATGTGATTGCTTTGCAAGAGCACACAATAACAAAATTCAGAGTGCTGTCTACATTTTCGCTTTCTATGGTTTGTCGTGATCAGATCACGGCGCACGCAGCCACCGGATGAGTCACCGTCAGCGGCGACCGGCAAGCGCCGCACACCGGACACTCGATACCATTTACGACGACTACCAACCGCTCATTGTGTACGATACGCAATCCACGCAGCTTATCGATGCTACTCGTGCCACCGTGAGCGTGTGCCATCAGAATCATTAAAACTCTATCATACAACGTTAAATAACATTTTTGACAGTCAACAGCTTCGACATGCCTTGTTATGTAGCGTCTCCGTTGTTTATTATACCTAATCGCTAGTTAGTAGATAGAAAATTATAATTATAAAAATGACTGTCTAATTTGAGTTCTCTTATTTAGATTACCATTATTGATACGTAAGATAAGAAAATGGTTTAACTTTATGATGCACCTTAGAAACAGACTGGTGAAGTATGGAATTGAATGAGACAAGTTAGATACAACGACAAAATTACTATAACTTTGCCCTAACAGGTTTTGTGAGTTTCCAGGACATGCTTTGGCAAGGGCTTGTGTAGTAGAACGAGTTCTGTATCCCCAAAGTTGTAAATTCGCGATTACTCTATAGATACTTTTAACTGATTTATCGAAATGGAATCGAGGATGTATAATGTAATATCGTGGCTAGTACTTTATGCCTTTGAGCTCCCTTTATACATATTGATTATAGTGGATACTGTCAGATCAAGTTACGAACGTAGAATATTAATCAATTGAGTAGTACTAGCGGGTGTGTGGTTATTGCGTACCCTACCCACCTATGGCTTCACCTAAGCCTTTTTGTAGACTAACTACTGTTATAATACGGAAACTGTCTGTCATTCATATGATACAGACAGAGTAGGTACCTAACAGTAGAGGAAATAAAAGCTGTTATAGTATTAGTGTCCGTACTTGCGACAATACGTAATAAAATAATTGAATACGTGTGTAGGTACTACGAAAGAATAACGCTTCTCGAATAAATAAGTGAACAGGAAATTGGCGGAAGTGGATTTTAATGTGAACGGTAAAAATGTACTATGCATAAACGAGTGGAAATAAGAAGGTTGTTCATTAAAATCCGCAAAATGATTCGAATGATATCTGTAATGATTGACGACATTAATACGGAAAAATAAACTACTTAATTTATGTAAAAACAAAAACGTCACACCACTCATAATTTTTAGAGATATAGGATTATGTTTCAGAAGACGATGGCATTCGTGGGTACTTACTTAATATGGAAAAGTAAATGTGACCACAGAGCAATAACTGCATAGATCGGCAGAATTACTTCTGGTGAATGAATCTGAATATAGATTAGAAGGAACCACTGCAAGATCAATGCACAAAACATCTTTAAAGATTTATCTGTGAAACGGAAGAGACTCAAGTAAACTATGTCTGAATATAGTCAATTCGTTGCATGGTTAAAAAAATAGTCTATTGAACAAGATCCATGTTTGAAAAACAAAGAGTTCAAGACTGTAAAAGAGGTTTCAAGTGCTAACTAGATTCAGCCTTGTGCATGTTACAGCTTCATGGCCCGAGATGACCCATAAAATCAATCAATTGAAGAAAATATTTAACAACATGGTACAACTAACTAAGTAGGTACTTAACTTGTATTCCAGAACTAATAATTTAATCTGTGTTAAGCACTGGCTTATCACTGGATTATATGTCAATTTTATTTAAAAAATCCTTAAATGTTTTAGTTAGAAATAGGAATAAGTAACTCATTACTCATCATAAAAACATGAGTTCTTACAATAAATGTATCATCATGATTGTTTCAATAATATTGACTGTGATAACACATTAATCACAGCTGTAATATAATTGGCATGACTTTTTACTTCAATTTCTTCCTGGAAAAAACCTTCATTAGCTTGTCAGGTATTTATTTATAATCAAAATGCCTTGTTTCAAGAGCTATTCAGATACAATAAGTTCTAATTTTATATTATTTCTTGTTTTAAGGCACTAGAAGGAAGTTTTAATTATTGTTGTGTTTTTAGATTTAACATATGAAGGTAATAATACTTTTAAAATAAATGGAACCTCAAGTGTTATCAGAACCAGTTAAAAATGAGGTTGTATTTGAAGTTTTAGCAAGTATTCATGCTTTTTTAAGATAATTTACTTCATATGACAAACAGTACAGTAGAAGTACCTGGCATTAAAGTTTATTAATCTGTCAAACACCAAGCGGTCACCGGTGACCGCGACCTATTGTTCTTTAATTGTGTCTATAAAACCGGTACTCGACGAGTTAATCATTATAATGATCTAAAATGAATGTAAGTAGTCTTTTGTTTCCCTGACAAAAGCTAACTGCCAGTTTTTATTGACACTATACCTACCTCATTTGTTAAAAGTTATTTTCATAAACTGAATATAATTGAGATACTTGTTAGTTAAGTAGTAATTATTAATTACTACAATAATCTTTTATGAGTCTTGAACTGGGTGGGATCTAAAATTCTAACAGCATTGTGATTCAGCTTGTTCATGAGTTAGTTAGTTTTTGAAAATATATAACTGGTATTTGGAAGAGTAGTTAGGTACCTAATAGAACGGCTATTTAGGTATACATAGACAAATACAGAACAACAAAGAATCCTAATTGGAAATTATAAAATTCTTACGTACGTAGGTAGGTACTAGGTAACTTACCAACATCTGTTTCTTATAGCTTTAATGCAATCTTCTTATTGCTTGCGTTAGTTGACTGGAAAACAAGCTTGCTACACAGCATTGATTATTCGATTTTTTTTAAATACAGTATGTTTTTTCTTACCTATAATAAATAAGATGCTGCCTGTCAAACACAATCCCACTCGTAAGCATACTGCTCGGTTCCAACTAGAAGCCATACGCCGAGAGAAGTAGCTGATGGGACAGTTCCAACGCTGATCTGTTGGCTGCTGTTCATAGGTCACTGTGGTAGGCTGATACACCGCACTTGTAGGCATTTTGAAAAATATTTAATCACAACTTGAACAATGACTACGTTGTAAGACAAAACTATACAAGCACTTCACAGGACACCTTGCAGATCAAGCAAGTAAACACAACAGACTTCACTCACTACAATACAATAACGAGCGAGTAGCAGGTAACAAGCGTGATGCATGCGTATGCGTGAGCAACGATTTTATTTTATTTTGTATGTGGACCACAGACCTACTATAATATGGACCAGAAGTAATGATCTATAGCTTATTTGCTTATACAAATATATATCAAATCGATATAGAAATATGAAACCACACTTTGTCTCTTTTTAATCAATGAGTTTCCTCATTTGAAGAAAGAGACGTCATGTTGTTTGTTTATTCTCTGCCTGGCAACATTTCTACATTTCTGTCAAGGTACCTACCTCGCGTGCCAGCCGCCATCTTTAGGCCGCATAGTTTTGTAGTACATCAGGTGTCAAGCAAACAAAAACATTAGATTTGGATTGCGATTTTTAACAATAAAAACGCTCCCAACTTATTTGTTTTGTGCTGTGAGTGTCTAGTGGTGCATATTTAATATGTCTACTTGTTCAATAATTCAGTGTGGGGCAAGGAAAAACCCCAATCAACCTCATTTGACTATGCACAGGTTAGTAGCCGTATTTTAAGAAAAAACTTTATCATACTATTAGTTTTCTTGTTTATCTAGCCTTGTTTTATATATAGAATAAAAGCCCCCAAATGTACATTAAAATTGTTTATGATAACTAACTTCATTTGCTAAATTTGTTTAAGTTTTGTTTACAATACAAATGACGATTTACAAATAGTGATGTATTTTATTTAATAACATATCGATAAGAAACTAACATATAAAGGGTCTGAAGAGACCATTTTGAAAATAAATCTTACAGAATAGAAATAAAAATAGGGATAGTACCATAACATAATAATATCAATTCTTCATACAGTAGGTACTTTCATTTAGTTCAGTCTATGATTTGTACCACTAAATGTACAAAACTGAAATAATTTTTATGTTTTTTTTTATTTCCACAAATTCCCTAAAAATGAAGTGCTGCGTCAGAAGTGGCTTGAAGACATTCGATGATTTGTACCTTTAAAAAAAAATTCAAAGGACCAGAAGATTTTTAATGTATAAAACTCTGCTATCGATATCGATACTTTTTGGTTTTGACTACAGTACTTCCCTAGCAATGGCAGCCATTTTTAGGCCGCGGTTTCTAGTAGGTATGCACGCGTATTTTGTAGGTATTTCTGGTCCATATTATAGTAGGTCTGTGATGTGGACCAGCCGCCACAGATTAATACAAATGAATGAATGAAAATGAATGGAAATTGGAAGTCTAGTCAGTCGTTTTCTTTTCACGTAACGTAAACAGCATGACAGAATAGATACATAATATTTTATATCGATGGCCAAGCCTGAAATGTAATAAAATTATTAATAATATTTGTATTTTCATGATACAGATTTTTTATTTGTGGAATAGGAGGCAAACGACTAGACGGATCACCTAATGGTAATTAAGCGATCAGCGCTGCCCATGGACACCTGCAACACCAGAGGAGTCACAGGTGCGTTGCCGGCCTTTCAAAAAGGAATACGCTCTTTTTTTGAAGGTTTGAAGATCATATCGGTTGCTGTGCGAGGCAGAAAGCTACGAAAAGGCTGGCGAAAAGAAGGTCTGAAATTTCAGTCACGAGTCTGTTTCGGCTCTCTATGATGTTTTCCCAAGAAATGTTGGCGCGGCCGGTGTAGGAGGCATCGCCCGTGCTGTCATCCGCATAACAATGAATGCCGCTGATTTGCAGCATGTCACTGATATGAAGGAGGAACAAGGTAGGCGATAGTACGCAGCCTTGAGGGACACCTGCGTTTACAGGCAGCAAGTCAGCGCATTCACCGTTGACAAGAATCTAAATGCTTCTATCTGCAAGGAAGCAGGAGACCCATTCGCATAATTTCTCAGGAAGCCCGTAGGAAGAAAGCTACGAAAGCTCTCTATACCAAACCTGATCGAAGGCCTTCGCCACGTCCAAACTTACTGCCAACGCTTCCCCCTTAGACTCGATCGCCCGGTGCGTTAGGTAAACTATAAGATCACCAGCAGGCTGACCTTTATGACAGCCGTATTGCTGATCACTGACCAGCTGATTGTCCTTTAAGTAACGCAGGAGCTGGCAGTTAATATTGGACTCCATTATTTTCGAGAAGAGGGAAGTTATGGCTATCGGTATGTAGTTGCGACGGATTAGATCGGGTGGACTAAAGGTGTCTTCTATGATGACGGAACTACGCCTGAAGAGTAAGAGAGCCGCAAAATACGTGTTAGAACTGGAGCTAACTCAGGAGCGCATATATTCAAAACAATGGGTGGGATCCCATCAGGCCCGCTCGACTTATGGACGTCAAGGGACAAGAGCGCCAAACCTACCGTGCGCTGGTGGAACGGTATATCCGGCATATACCTTCCGCATCACGGCACAATAGGCGGCTCGCGCCCACCTTCATCCAGTGTCGAGTTGGACGCAAAGATTTTCCCCAAAAGTTGAGCTTTAGCCCTTGCGTCATGAGCCAACGAATCCCCACCCATGTGCAGAGGTGGAAACTACTGCCTGCAGAAATTGCCCTCGATAGCTTTGGCGAGCGACCAGAATACACGACTTCTTGAAGGAAGGTGCTCAAGCCTCTCCAATTCTACCGATGTGCTGCGACTTGGCCCTTGAAATAGCTCTTTTGAAGGACTTGGAGGCTAAGTTATACTCCTTTTTTATAGTGCGCTGGTGTTAACATCCCGTGCCACCACCGCATAGGCCCAGGCTTGGTAGGCGCCCCGCTTTCAGTGTAAGGCCTATCTGATAGAAGCATGAAAGGGCCGATATCTGCCACCGACGGGGACCGGAGATGGGATGAAGAGCTCCATCGGCAGCGGCGTTGGGATCATCCTACAAGCATCAAACCCGCCTCCAAGGGTAAGATGCAAAAAAGGATTGCATCCCATCCTAGTCTGCCGACCTATACCTAGTGACATACACGGCGACCGCGTGGCTCTTATAGTCGCGGTGAGCACGTACAAGACACATAATTATGTAAAAAAGAAACGGGCCAAACTAGTATTCTACAGTACTTTGCAATGACCGATTGGACTAGGGATATGACTTTTAAAACAGTAGAAAAGTATCTAGGTACCTACTTACATTCGTAGTTTTCGCTTTACGCGGTAACCCTGAATATGGTGACGTACTTTTCTATCTCTGCGACTGACAATGCTTGCCCAGAGTTAGTTTGGGGTTGTGGTCAAATGGGAATTTCACAAGTTTTACATGCCCTGGACTGCCTCGTTGGCCGAGTGGCAAGTGCGATTGCCGAGCAAGCAAAGTATAACTGAACTTTTAGAAAATTCTCAGTAGGAGCAAGAGTCTGAAGTTGTGCCCGGTATATGGCAATAGGCTCACCCCCTATTACATGGGACTCATAACATAAATAGTAAAAAGTGGGTGTTACATTGTACAGTGGTATTAAATGCCGTAATGTGCACCTCTGCCTACCCCTTCAGGGATAAAACGCGTGATGTTATACACCCTGGAAAAGCTGGGGACAAACAAAACCAGTGGTAAATTCTTTCTTACTTTAAAATAAATAAAAGGCAAAGTATTTTGAAAAAATAATGTAATAGTTATAATTTTAAATATTCATTACCACTAATAAATAGATTTATATCACTAGACAGTCGCTGCTTTATAATTAGAGTCATTTAATTTAACAGGTAAAGGCACTGATCCTTCTTAAAAACACTATTACAATCTAGGCATAATAATGCAACAGTCACGTCATAATTAACCAGAATCGCAACTGTTTCATCAATTTAATAAAATTCATTTTCATATTAATATTATGGAATTGATTGTCTATTTTCAGCAAAAACTGGAATAGAAGAAACATACATGACTCCCATTCAGTACTATATTTGATCGAAACACTAAATATAAATGTTTTTCAAAGCAAATATTTATACATTACGAATTAAATAATGACGGTTTCGAGTTAATAACCTTAAAATAATTATTATCATACACATTTCATATAAATCGGAAGTAAAATATTTATGTCGACTAAAACGGAATATTCAGTTATAAATAATTAAATCAACTGTTTACATTTTGACATTGAAAATACATTACTTATGTTTATAATAACATAATAAGGCACCAAAGCATGAGCATTCGCCTTAAAATAATTTCGAAAACTCAAAGGAATAACAATGCTAATACACATGTAAAATGTTAGCATACTTTTTCATTTGTACTGATTTATTAAAATTATATACAAATATATTCTACAAAAATATTTCAGATACCTAATTCATTATCATCTATTTTGTACATGCAAAATAGAACTTATGTTATTATGCCGTTATATTTATATTTCGACTTACGAGAACTAACAGTGTAACATTGCTATTGTTTGACATCAAATAATTTGAAATAAAGTCGGAAGCCCAATAAATGTTAGCTTCACTGGAAGTTGGTAATGTAAATAAATAGATCATATATTCTGATGGAGTAAAAATCTAAATTAAAGAAAAGTATAAACATATATTTGAGCGTTATCATAGCTGGCCATAAAGCGATTAAATGTGCATTATTCCACTTGCGCGCAACCAACACCTCAGGTTCGCTTTCCTTTATAAAACCGATTTACAGGTAAGTATAGCTTTAGCAACAGGAGAAAAAGAAGGTCTAACCTACGTTGTTAGTATTTTAGCATAATTGAGTTCTATCCATGGCATGATTTAAATTAAAAATATTAAAATGCCCTCAAGCTCTTACCTTGGAAATAGAATTTTGTCATGACATCTCATCCAGAAATTCGTCAGTCTCATTAAACTGTCTTTATTTCGAAACCACCCAGACTAGTTTTTTAGTACTCACAATCTTTTGCAATATTTACATAGTAACAATCACAATACCACAAAATACATAACATTCTGAAAGGCTATAGATGTTAAATGAACACATTTTGAATTAAATTCTTAAATATCATTGTGTATACTATTTTAAAAGCAAGACTCATATAATAATAATATCTTTATCATTCGACAGCAAATCCGGCCGTTTCGAGCACCGCTTGTTTGAGTTTGTCGTGAAGTTTGCCCTTATTAGGATAAGGAGGTAAATCGAGACGATTGAAACAAGTGTGAGCCTTCGGAAGCGAGTCGGGAGACGCGTCCGCCACTAGGTGCAGAGTAAACAGCCGAGGAGCGGCCGCGCCGGTCGACCCTTGCAGGGCTCGGAACCCGGCCAGCGGAACGCGGCGAGATCCCGTGACAAATTGTAACAACCTAGCTCGCATCTCCGCGTCGAATTCTTCGACAATCTCCCAGAACCAGGAGACTATTGGCGCGTCATGCGTGACATGCTTGAGCCGCGTGTGTCGACGCCAGTCGGCCGGGTCGAGGTCGGCGCGTCCCGCCAGCAGCGGCTGCAGGTCGCGCGGCGACAGCGGGCGCAGCAGCTGCGGCGGGATGATGTCTGCCAGGCCGCGCTGCAGCGCCAGCCACTGCCGCTCCGCGCCGCGCGTGAAGCGGTGCGCCACGTAGAGCCGTACGTAGTCGCGCTTGTTGGCATCCGTTACGGCTTCGTTGGTACCTCCGGGCCGAAGTTCCACGCTGCGGACTGCGCCGAATGACGAACACTCCACAGAGAACGTTGTGTCTATTACTCCGGCAATGCTGTTTTCTCTGCAAAATCAAATAGCAACATTAAAATTTCGAATAAATTGAAAACAAAGTAGTATACATAATCATAGCAATTAATTCAAAAACTTACAGCATCCAGGAAAGCGACCGATGTAGTTCTGGGTCCACGTCGCGAATGTCACGTAGGGTTATCGGCCTGCCGAGCAACTGCTTGTAGAAGGGAGCAGTGAATGCCGCGTCTAACTGATGTCCATGGAACAATGCCACACCGAGAATGCGCCCAGCAAAGTGGAAATATGATAGATGTTCTGGGTTCACCTGCACAGAAATTAGTATTACTAAATTGTGATACTGTAAGAAATACTTAAACTTCAAATTCATTAGCTGGATCATGCTAACCCCAGAATCCGCATTAATTTGCAGCGCATATCGATCGTCGCCTGCGTTCGCGTATTGGAAGAGACCATAATGTGGGTTGAACAGTTCCCTGCCCAGTAAGTGAAGCCACTCTCGGGCTACGCCACCGTAATCTAATCCCTCTTCGCCACGGAATTTCACCAGCAAACGTTTTCGCAGCTCCTTGCCTCGTAACTTCATTACGAGCCGGTACGATTCCTCTAATATTTCGTTTCGTGATACCTGGAAAACAACATAACATCACAAGTTATAGTCACATATTTAAAGTAGGAAAATTAAAATTTAATTTTGGTAAGAATATCAAGAGGAACATACCTCTATCCTACAATGTCCTGTCTGAGGTTGCAACGCCTGTAGTTCAGCTCTCAAAACCCTCGCTTTGGCTGCCAAGTCGCGTTTGTATTTGGGCAGTGCATCGGAATCCAGTGGTTCTGTCACTGATTGAGTGGGTACTGCTACTGCGGGGGTTGAGGATGAAACTGCGGCAAGTTCAGGTTGTGGCTGAAAACAAAAGTGCATAATATTGTAGTAACCAAAACCAATTTAAACAATGCTTTAACTTCATTCTTTTGTTTACAATCAAAGAATGTCTTAGTAGACTTCTGATTCGCGACAACCGACACTACGTCTCAACATAATGTCAACAAATATCGTGAGACATACTAAGTTAACTAAAAATCAACTTTTCTCAGTATATTCACGTGAGTAACCCGCGATTTTTAGTTAATAATGTAAACAATAGTAGAATTTGCTATTAGAATATCTGTTAGAAACTTACAAGTCTGGCTGACAGCGCTAGTCGTGGGTCAGTGAACTGCGTGGTTCTGTTATTGTGGTCTACGAAGTATGGTCTGCCAGACGGCGCATGTCGCATCTCCCAGCCGGGCGGCAGCGGGCCGGCCGCCGCGGCGCAGTGCCGCAAGTGTTGTGGGACGCGAGGGTCGTGCCACGTCGACGCACCCGTGTTGGAGTTGTAGAAGTATACCTGACCCTGAGCTGTTGTGCGCATTTCTGAAATGTTTAGTATAAAACATAAGCAACTGGTCGGCATTCTTAATTATTGTTTCTATTGAACACGTTTTTGTATTAGGTCCGATGGATTAGCATGGAAGTCATTCATACGGCCCCTGACAAAACATTACAGTCTACATACACAATTGGTTCATATAAAACCCAATAATAGGTTACCCAATCTCTGAACATAATCAAAGACCTTGGCCAGAGCAATTGATGATGTCAGTACAGTAATAATGTGTCATTGTACTATTATAGGTGGTAATCAAATGTTCAGAATACAAATGAGTTTTGAGGTAAGTATGTGTTCCCTTTGTAAGGCGCCATTAAACCAAATGCCAGAACTAAAAACTAGACTACTAAGGACGGCTACCAACAACTAAGATATCAGTTTTGTAGGCGAAAAGTAATGTCTCGAAAGTATTTTTCTATGTTTGTTTAATGAAACTGTAAATTCATCAAGTTATTGCTTAGTAACTTATAGCTTAAATAATACCTTATACGAAAAAGTTCTTACCGTAACCAGGGGGTAAATCAGTAGCAGCTATGGGAGCAATTGGAGTAGTTGGTGTAGTTGGTTGGGCGGTAGACCCGGCCGGTGGAGACGTCGCTGTGGGAATACGGGACCTCACTGCAGTCTGTGGCTGAGGCTCAGGCCTATAACATAATAAATGTTTACTTTAATTAATACTTAGATGAAAATAGGGAAAACAATGATACAGTACAATGCTATATCAGTATTATCTGTTCTGATTCACAAGTCAATAAAAATTAACAAAACTATTCTCATTCTTATTCTAATCTCTTGAATTTTTTTTAAAGTTGTTAAATTAAAAAAGTTATTAGATTGTAAAGTTGACTATTGAATCTTAAAACAAAACAATACAATTGAGGCAAGTCAGATAATGTATATAATATATAACCTTGAATGTTTGGACAATGCATGCATACGAATATTTACCTTAAAGATATGGAAGTAGCATGATTGACATCTGGGTCTGAAACGGGTGACATGGGCGAGGATGGCGATACTGGGGAGACCGGACTGGATGGTGTAGCTGCCGGCGTCGGGGATGATGGCGGTGACGAAGCTGCAGGAGACACAGGCGCAGTGCCCTCGCTAGTAGGCCGCTCCCACTGAGTGCGTCGAGACGCATGGTTCACGTAGTATGGTCTGTAATTTAGATACACAATTATAAAAATGAGATCCGAATCAAGTATCGTGATTATCCTTTGAGATGGTCTATTTTGCAGTTATTTACTAGTAATGACTTTAATTAAAAGCGTGCTGCAGTTAATTTAGAATTTCGAAATATAATAAAAAAACCAATGACATTAACCTGCCACTAGAAGTAAAGCGTTCTTCCCAATGTTGTGGCAGTGGATTTCTCGTTCCGTTTTGCACGGGTGGTGGGTCACGAGGGTCTCGCGGAGTGCGTACATCTCCAGCGGGACCCACCACGGCCAAAGGAGATCCCTCGCCGGCCGCCGCAGCCGGCTCGCCCCGCGCCGCGTCCCGAGACACCAATGACACGATCACTTGGCCCCGAACACCACATGTCTCTCCCGTACCCTCTTCGCATAACTCCAGGCATTGGTCTATCAAATTACGAATTCACATGTTTTAATAATAATAAAAAATATCAATTATTGAAGGTCTAGATAGCAAAATTATCATTTAACTTTAGGCTGATAAAAGGACTTTAGAATCTTCATTTAATATTACAATTTAAAAGGTCATTGAAAAGGACCAAATATGTATAACATTGAAATAAAATTGTTTTTTTTTACATTCTCTTTTAAACAGCCTATGATGCAACAAAAAGGAATTTTATTAATTTAATAGATACAATATAATAAGAATTCCAAATGAAATCTATTTCATCACTATTTCGAAACTATGTGGAAGTTTGTCACTGATACAAGGAAATTAAATATTGCTTCCATTGACAAGATTAATAAAATAAACTGGCAATTTGTTTTAAACGGAAGAAGAGTAAAGAAATCGCAACCTTATTGACAAATCAATTTTAAATAATGGACAAAACTATTATTACCCTAGTACATAATAGTATCACAATCATACATATAAGAAACCATTATGTGGTCACATTCCACTATGCCATATTTGGTGGAAGTGTGACACTTGAGAACTAGTAACAATAAGCAAGGATAGAATATTTATACTTACATCCCGTGTCCTTCAATTTGTGCACAGTAGATGGCTGAATTCTAACACAACCAAGGAATCCAGAACCTTGTCTCTTGTGAACTTTACGCTGATTCCATACACTAAAAATAATAAGTTCATGTTAATAGAAATTCCATATAATATGTATCTAAACAGCAACCAAAATTCATTGTTAACTATTGTATTTCATGCTTAAAAAAATATACATATTAGGTATTTATTTGAATGTAATGCTTGTTTTCCTCCACTGTTATTAGTAATGTACAATTTTATTTTTAACCAACTTCGAAAAGAAGTTATCTACGGTTGTACGCGTTTATTTCGCGATTGGTTGAACCGATTTTGATGCAGTTTTCAGAAAAGTGTTTGTTACACTTAGGAGAAGGTATATTAATTACCTACTAACTTCAAAAAAGAAGAGGTTTTAGTTTTTTTTAACCTAGTTTAACTCATTAAGTACTGTCATTATAGACACAATTAAAGAACAATAGGTTGTGGTCACCGGTGACCGCTCGGTGTTTGACAGTTTAAGAAAGCTTCAAGTAATCATACTTTAGACAACAAGATATCATCTCTCATTGATTGCTCACAAACAAAAAATATTATCACACCTATAAATTTTTTTGCAGAAAAACATTTATCTTAGAGATAACTTATTTCTTTACATTTCGTAACAGTCCTATGTCCCTGAGCATTTTCCTCTTTCGTAGTACAAAAAGATTTAATAGAATTGTTAGTGGGCATTAAAAGGAGCAGTTATTAAACATTATGCCATCATTTTCTTCATAAACTGGTCACATGTGCAGTTATTGGGAAAAAGATCCCAGGTCGGTATCCTTTTCTAATTTGAAATTCTAAATACAAGCATGAATTACAAAATTAAGTTGGTTGTTTGGTAAACAAGTTACTGTCTTTTATTACATGGCAATTGGAGAAACATGACTAACTTTGTAGCATACAATCAACATTAAAAATGTGAGTAATGCATATTAATTATCTAACTTTAAGTAATAGTAAAATACATTGTGCAGTAAAATTATGTTCATGCTATTAGCTAACTTCCTTAATGATGTTAGACAGGTGAAAGTACAACTTTAGCATGAAAATAACAATAATGTTGGTTATAAGTTCCTACATTCTTGTAAATCGAGATAAAACATGGTTATACTCCGAGATACTTTCTCTTTACTTTTCAGTATCTTGTGTTTCAATGTCTTGAGTCTCAGTGATAAGAATCATTGGAGATAAGCTATAAATCTATATAGGTTACCAGTCAATCTATATGTACATTTATACTTCACGCCAGAACACTGTATCAGTAAGTATGGTGCAGAATATAAACAGGGCTCTTAAGACATTGGGTATACTTACATAAGTATTATACAATTGCTTCAATGTTGTTAAGTATTTCATTAGACACAAAAACATTTCAGAAACAAATGTCCAAGTATTTAATGTAGGAATGTCCGTTACTTAATTCTGAACAAGATACTAAATGCAGACACATATCATAGCTAATTAAGGACAATGTGAAGCTCTTAATTGCTTGAGGACTCACCAACACATTCATAACAAAATTCTTATTGTAAGTAGTTGGTATATGGTTGGGAACTATACACTATTGAACTTACCTAATTGTGATTCCATCCCCTTTGGTTAGGTACAGATCATAATGAGTATTCCACTTGGGATCGAGAGTTGCTTTCACGGTGTTTGTAGAATACACCTGTCCACTGCCATCAACAGAGATTTTCGCAAATGGGTCTGGTAACCCTAAAACCATACGAATACATGTTATAATATTGTATTTATAAGTATAATCTTATATGAAATAGGCCGCAATTGCGACGCAATTCTTTCAAACGTACTATTTTCATAAAAATTCAACGCAGGTCGTATGGTTCTCACCTTGAAGTTACACTATCATCAATTATGATTTCAGTTAAAATTTCAACACAATACGAAAATATACTTACGAAATAAGTCCCTTCGAACCAAATTTCTGGCACATAGAACTAAAAACAAAATAATAAGAGAGTTAATTATAAAGAATGTTATACACACTCGAAGCAAAATATTCACACCAAGTAGCGGAAATGGTTGGATAACAAGACACTCACTAGTCAAACGTATTTTTTGGGCTCCATATTTGCGGTTGGACACGGGAGTGGACATTTTTTAATACTATGTAATAATCATTGGGATAAATAAATTTTAAAACGATTTCATCCAATTTTCACATAAACTTTCAACCACCATTTTTATTTCATTGAATGAATGATGAATGAATTTCGAATGAAAAGTAGAAAATGAATGAAATGTTTTATTAAAAAAATGAAGTTGGAAGTTGGAACACTAGCCTTTACAGTTCACTTTATCGGCTTAATATTCTCGATAACTTAGTAACAAGTTTAAAAAGATGCATTAAACCATGCAACGCGCAGCGTCACAAAATTATGTCAAAAAAAACAACAGATTCACTGTGCGCGTACAAACATCAAAATACTGTGATCCAGATCAGCGGTATTCTTTTAATGTTTTTATTTCTTGTTAATTAAATTAGCGTAAATTACATCACATATCATCCAATGTATCAACAATTCATCGAGCATAAGTAACTTAAAAGTATTGTTATAATAATTACACGTTGACAAAGGATACTCTTTTATTGGGAAAGGCTAATGACCTTACGCGGCATTTTCAAAACTATTCACTTTAATGTGATATGTTTAATGTGCGTATTTTAACATAGAAAAAGAGTGAAAAAATTATTAATTTCTACAAAAAACTAACTAAGAAAGTTTCTATATTGTTAAACTATAGGTAATATAGATAGTAAAAGTCAAGTGTTCGTAAGTGCTACAAATAGAGACCCTAGGGACTTAAAGTGGTTTTTTTTTATTCTATTTTGTGGCCTGCTGTAGTTCCTTTTTGATGTTTTCTACTTGTATGGTAAAAATTATAAAATATATATGTGGGGCTTGCGTTAAAATACAGAATGTATTGAATTTGAATCAGAATCTAACAAAATATTAATAGACCTTTTTTATTGAAGAGTTTTATATACCTACCTAAATAAGATATTGCATCCATAATAATCCGCGAAGCCGCGGGTAATCAACTTTACTTTACTTTTGATCGATTACTTATGTTATGGAATTTGTTTATATAAATAACTTGTCCTAGAATAAGTAACATTGTGAGTGCTCCTTTCGCCTGTGATACAGGATATTTTTCCTAGTACAGGCATTCAAACCTAGTGAGGTATCTGATTTAAAATTAAGATTTTTATCTGTACTATGACCAATTTCTTATAATGAATAAAGATTTATTATTATTATAATAAATAACGGATCAATTTTATTACTGCAATAATAATTACCTAAACGATTTGTTATCGTTTTATCAGTTGATAAAATATTAGTTTAATAACCGTAAATTGGTGGCACAAGCATACAAGGATTCCTACAAAACAATAGCACTAAACTAGATAATAGATGGCATGAAATATTGATAACAAAGTGTATGCATGAGTAAATAAATAGAATTTTACTTATCTATTTATTGTATTGTTTACCGACAGCAGTGTTTATCAAGCACGCACGCTGAGCGCACGCTACACTGAGGATACAATTGAAAGTAATCTTGTTTCAAAAATGGTTCCTATTATAATCGTTCATGGAGGAGCTGGGGACATTCCTGACGGCAGAGTGAAAGGCAAACTTGATGGAATGAAGGTAGCTGTAACGGCAGGACACAAGATTCTTATGAAAGGAGGCAGTGCTTTGGATGCCGTGGAAGCGGCTGTTGTTGCTATGGAGGAAGACGAAAATTTTAATGCTGGTAAAGTATTTTCTTTAATATAAACGTATTCTTCGATATTTTTCCTTAAAAATGTTTTTAGATTTTATTCCAACTGAAAGGTATGGTTTGTTTTTTATCTCTGTTTTTAGGTTACGGATCTGTTTTAACTTTGCGAGGAGAAGTGGAAATGGAAGCTAGTATCATGCGTGGACAAGATTTGAATGTAGGTGGAGTTACGCTCGTCAAGGAATTCCTTCATCCTATCAGTATTGCTCATAAAGTACTTATGGATTCACCACATTCTCTTTTAGGAGGAGAGGGGGCGAAATTATTTGCTCTAGAAAAGGTAAAACTCAATTTTAATATTGTACAATGTACACGATACGACACGACTAAAACGCTCTTAATATTTTCACAGGGATTTAAACCAATTCCTCCAGAATCATTGATTAGTGAAAATGCAAAACGAGCTTTGGAAAGGTTTTTGAAGCATGGAGAATTTGGCAGGACAGAAATAGGTCCCAAAGATGAGGTAATAGACTAAAGTTGCGTATTCATAGACCAAAGTAAATAAAATAAATTTTTAGGTATTTGTTTACTTTTTATATCACTTTTATAAGTCGTGTACAAAGTCACGGTTTGTATTCAATTTCTAGGGTGGAGTGGGGACCGTTGGTGCTGTAGCTATAGATTCTCAGGGGCATATTGCAGCCGCCACAAGTACAGGCGGTATGAGCGGAAAAGCTGTTGGCAGAATAGGGGACACACCTCAGATTGGTAGTGGAACCTATGCCGACGATCATATCGGCGGCGTTTCAACCACGGGTACATTGATTTATTGTTTCTATTTAATGTATTTATTTCATATTAAATACCTACTATACTTAATTAGATTCCATATAATTTCAGGACATGGGGAATCGATACTGAAATATTGCTTGGCCCATAGCATTATTAAACTCATGGAGAATGGTACCGATGCAAACACTGCTACGACTATGGCAGTAAATGGTATGATTTTTATTATTGGATGCTTGCTTGCTTGTTCGATTCAGACTTAAGTCTAAGATCAGTAATACATATTTATTTTAAGAATGAAGAAATATTTTAAATATTTATTCTATATGTACATCTATTATATAGGTATTGCCAGTATGACCAGCAAATAAATTATCTCTAAACTTGTTTGAAATATTTTTTGTCGTGTTATATAGCTATTGTTATATACCAAGTAGTATTAGTACCAAGTTTACGAATATTTCACATAAAATATTTGAAATAAATATGTTGCTTTTTTTCAGGAATGACTTCTCGGCTACATAATACTGCAGGTGCGATCACGTTGTCAAAGAATGGCGAGGTTGGCGTTCATTTCAGCTCAAACAGAATGTCTTGGGCGTACATCAGAGATGGGCAAATAATTTACGGCATCAATCCAGGCGAAAATTTTTGTGAGACATATGAGCCTGAGAAGTAAGAATTGATAATTCAATGCATATTTTGCATTTGTTGCTTAAGCACTAATGTGTAAGCAAGACTGAATAATGTTTTATTTACAACATATAATACAAAAAAAATCTTTTACTAGTTAGATATTTTTATATGTGTTATATCTATAAATGTACTTTAAAATCTGATCATGAAAATATACTATAACATCAGCAATATGATATTTTCTTTCTCTTTCTACAAGTTGTTTCGTCCTCACCAGGCGAGGGTGCTCCATGAGGATTTCCTACCTTAGGAAAAAAAAGGTAACACATGAAACTGACTACACAAATTAATTCAGCTTTACTTATATATTTTCCTATGTGGTCCTGCTTTGGATGTTATAGTCACTGTTTATTTTAGAGATCTTAGGCCATGATATGGCACCTCTTTATTACACGTTACGTTATGGATGGAGAGCATATAAAAATAAAATTGTATGCACTTGGCCATAGCAATATCAGGTGATTCTATTCAAAATCAACCATCTTTTTAATCGACTGAAAGCATACTGAAAGACTCGTATCTATGGCCAGGAATAAAAAAACTAGATTTCAAAATGACACTGACAGCTGACAGTCAGTAGCTTTTTATACAGAAGCAAAGAGTATAATAAGTATAGGGGTAAAGAGTTGCCACTCGTCAAAATTTATGCCAATCAATTTGAAACGCCATCTGAAAATTGAATCCTAGTATATTTTTTTTTTACTAATGTCTACAGATAATCCTAAGTATAGCTAATGACAATACTACCAACAATGCACCTTGCAGGTTGGTACATTGAAGGTAGTATTGGAATTAGCTATGTCTGGTAGCTGCAAAATCAAAGAAGTTATTAATTACAATATTACATTTATTTTACAGTAAATACAAATTAACATTTAAAAATTATCAGCTAGTAGGGAAATATCAGACGACAGATTTGTTCAAAGTATATTTCAAATTTTAGTTCTTTTTTATTTTATGTTTACAAATTTCAGATATAAATATGTCGTTCAAAATTTATTTGAATTAGTTATTTTTTTAATTATTGATCCCACAAAGAACTAAAATTAAAAATATTTACTGTTCACCGTTGTTTACACAGTACCTAACAGTAGTTAACAATCTAATGATATAAATTAACCGTAATACCTACACAAATGTAGTACATTTTACCATCGATTTGAATCGCTTACAGTATTTACAAAAACACAAAATTATTATACAATTTACATAACATAACATACATAACATCACGCCTTTTTATCCCCGAAGGGGTAGGCAGAGGTGCACATTTCGGCACTCAATGCCACTGTACAATGTAACACCCACTTTTCACTATTTATGTTATAAGTCCCATGTAATAGGGGGTGAGCCTATTGCCATATACCGGGCACATTTCCAGACTACTCTACTACTACTGAGATTTTTTTAAAACCCAGTAATAATTTGCCCGACCCGGGTATCGAACCCGAGACCCCTTGCCCGGCAGTCGCACTTATTATTATAATGTCGAAAAATATAGTGCTTAAAAATAAGTCTCAGTCTGCCTCTCAGTCAGTCTCAGTTTTTTAGTACTTTTTTTGCTAGTTGCTAATAATGCCTGACTTAGTCGTTTCCTATATCTAGTTATATTACAGTCATTTTTACTAAACAACTACAGATTTTTCCTATCCTCAAATATAATATTTTTATAACATTATAATGAAACAAAGTAATATTATTATTATAAATACAAATGAAAATGAAACAGGCAAAATAATGTGGGAAATCCCAATTCAGACAGACTTCACAGTTGCCCACAACAGACCGGACATAATATACACAAACAAAACATCCAACACCACATACCTCCTTGACATAACTGTACCATGTAACTACAACATAGGAGCAAAAGAAATTCAGTAAATACCACTTTTTAAAGACACAACTCAAGGCTAGACGCCTTGAAATATTGAAACGCATGTTAATTCTATAGTAATTGGAGCCACAGGAGTAGGTACTAGCCAAAAGCCTCAGCAGATACACAGACAAACTAGAAACATAAATAGACATTAGCCACCATTCACACAATAATCATTCTTAGCAAAGTACTAGGAGACACAGTTTTCGTCACATACATTCCAGATTCCGATCAATTACAACCATCTCAAGCGCAAACACCACATACCACTCAGTCAACCATCACATGAAGCTCACAATTCACATCTGGCACACAAACTACACCCAGTTAGTAGCCAAGTAGTCAGCAGAAGAGAAAGAAGGAGATCTATAAGTCAAATTTAGAAGGGGCTATGAGCATCGTTTTTCCTGCGGGTTGTGGGAAGCGGTGCCCATTTTCACCAGATCAAGCCCAAGAAGGAGAGACCTCTACATATATGAATACAAATAAGTAAAACCTAGAATAATCCTGCCAGTCTTTTGGGCACCCTACTCCACGATAGCGATGAAAAAAATTTTTTGATGCCCTAAGGTAACATTTTTTTTTAAGGTGTGAATATGTACCTATTTTTGTTTATTTATAATTTAATATTACTTTGTTGTGCGTAGGTACTTAAAATGTTGTTCTAATTATGATATATACATTAATACAAAGATAAAAATAGTTTTACAAAAATAATACGGCTTTAATATTTGCAGCGATCTATGGGTTTCTTGTTTCTTGAGACAACAATATACGTCTGAATGTTAGAATAATTCCAAATAGTACCTGAAAAAACAACAAAGATTATTTTTACATGCAGAAATATGTATTTTATTTATTTGTTTTCTTTTATTTATCTAAGGTAGGTGTACCTTACGTGATATTACTGATGTTACAAGAATAATATAGTATTTACCATCTCTAAAATAGGTTTCAAGCACTGCTGGTATAGATCGGCACTTTATCCGGACATCGTAAGACTCGTAACTGCCGATAAAAAATTGCACTATTGATATTCTGCAATGATGATGCTGAAGTAATATCGATGCAATAGCAATTCCAAATATCACTGTAACAAATATACAAAAGAAAAAGTAGAAATTTATAAAAACTACATAGTTTGGTATCTCAATGAATCAAATAAAATGTATAAATAGGTTCAATAGCAAAAATCATAAACTTGTTGTAGGTTTTACCTTCAGCAACATGATTGTATTCTTCGTATTGATGTTCTTTATTATAAATAAGATATATACGCAAATTAAAGCGTTCCTTTGTAAAATCAAGTCCATTGAATAGACAAACAAACACAATGTACTTTTGTGATTTGTGATACACATGTATACAAAAGGTCCTTTATAGAAAACACAACACACATCGCAGAACTTCCTTTTTTAGAAAAACAATCACAAAATCCCATCACAAATTATTAAATAATTTAAAATATTTATGGCAAAAATTTTTACAATTTTGACATTTCAAATTTTTGTTTTTGTTTCTTTTCTTTATCAAGCAAAAAGTATACATATTATATGCCAGTATTAAAATAGTACAAACTACATGCATACTATTTTATAGAAATAAGGAGATAATATAAAAAGTATTTAATATCAATATCTAATTATTAACAATATTATTTTAATAGTTATTTATTATCTAAATAATTTGGAAAATTATTATTATTATTAACCTATTTTATAGATTTTCTATGAAAATTGAGTACTTTCATATAATATTAGTTTATAAAATAAAAACGGTGGCCTAGACCTAAGGTTCACAGGCTCTTAGGTTAATGCTTTTGGATGGAGAAACCTGACGCAGTCACTTCATAGAGTTTAGTTTGTCATCCATCACTTAATATCTTTTTAATCTCTATTATTAGTAAAGAGGCTGTCATCTTTGATCGATTATGCCAGCATAACTGTCATTTGATCTAAGTCTAAGGAATTATTTTGTAAAAATTGCAATATAGTATTAAATAAATGTGTATAATGTTATTTTACTATTTCCAAAAAATATTATTTTAAGCCTAAATTTTAAAATAATGTTGCAACCTTGCTTGGAACTGTGTGGCCACTGAAAGTATTAGTTTTGACAACATTTAATTTCAGGTTCGAAAACTAGATGTAGTTGACGGTCCGATTTTTTAAGCTGTCAATGGCTCTAAGTGTGACGGCCCTGTACAGAAGTCAGCAGAGCCAAAAATGAATTATTGGAGTTACATTTACTTAAAAGTTATTTCTATTTAATTATTTATTATATTTCAAGTACGCTGCATTGTGGCTTCTAATATTATATTAAATAAAATAAGCCGGATATTAAGTTATTAGATAAACGGAAAAGTACATTATGTTGCTAAACGGCAATATGCCTATTAGATTCAAGCCATTAGAATTTAATTGTTTTAATTGGTTGTACAGTGTCGCACCATGTTTTCCCGTAAATGCAAGTAAAATTAATATAATCAATGATCCTAAAAAGTTTTACGATACATTGTGTGATAGATTTCGGAATGCAAACCGACGAATATCCGTTGCAAGTCTCTACTTAGGAACTGGAACTATGGAAAAAGAGCTCTTGGACATTACCAAAAAGAATTTAAAAGATAATAAATGTTTAAATTTCAAAGTTCTGTTAGATTACCAGCGTGGTACGCGGGGAGAAGTGAATTCAGTGACTCTGTTAAAAGACTTTGTTACCAGTGACACTAACCAGTGTTCAGTCAGTTTGTATCAGACACCTAGATTGCATGGTTCATGGTCCAAGGCATTGCCGTCTCGGTATAACGAGCTTGTGGGACTACAGCATATGAAGCTGTACATAGCAGATGACTCTGTGTTGTTGAGTGGTGCCAATTATTCCAATGACTACTTCCAACAGAGACAAGATCGCTATTTAGAGATTGAGGATGCAGAACTAGCAAATTTTTACAGTGAACTTATAGGTATGATGACTGTAAGTTATTAGGCTCTATTTTTTATTTCAGACTAATTCTAATTGCTTTGTAGAGACAACTTTTGTTTTAATTATGAAAAATCGTGTGTGTTGTGTTTCAATCCACAATCGTTCCTTAAATTTCTAGATGAGGTGAGCCAGTTTAGCAAAGAATCCTCGAAGGATGGTATTAGGGAGAGGAAGTACGCCTCAAAGGAGTTGTTCATTCAAGATATGAGAAAGAGTGTAAATGCTTTTATGACAAGATGGCAGGAGCAACAGATGAACAAGCTAATATCTTTTAGAAATTGTGAAGGTACCTATTTTATTTCTGTAAACATTTGTTTAACTTTTATTTAAATTTGTGACATTACTATCAAGGACATTTTTTAAAACATTTTACATATTTTCTATACTGATTAACTCTTTGAGTACCGTCATTATAGACACAATTAAAGAACAATAGGTTGCGGTCACCGGTGTCCTCACGGTGTTTGACAGTTTAAGATGTATTATATAGAAAGAAAGAAAAACCATTTATTATGCCATGACACACAACAAGAACACACACACACACACACTAAATGCCCATGGTGTGTTGTAGCGCAAAAGTAGAAGATTTTTCTTAATAAGTTCTATTGAAATATGACACTAGGTACATGACTAATAATTAATTACAGATGAAACAAAAGATACCTGGATATTTCCTCTAGTACAAATGGGAGAGTTTGGCATCACTCAGGATGAACAGGTCACCAAAAAGTTTTTAGCAACTGTTCCAGAAGGTTCCATAATCAGACTGGCTACTGGATATTTCAACCTTACAAATGAATATGCCAAGACTTTATTGAAAGACTGTAAGGCCAACATTAGTTTGTTAATGGCCCATCCAAATGTGAGTGCTAATTTATTTACATGAAGTTTTCAGTTCTTCAATTTCTAAATAATTTAAGTAATCCACAGAGTATGAATGTCACAGTTCTATTGTTGTGTTCACTGAAAGTTTACTGAAACTGGCCTTTGTAGAATAAATAGAAAACTGATAGATTTCTGTTGACTTTAAAAGAGCCTGTGGGCAGTTTTATAGTAACATGTTGTCTGAATAAAATATATTTTGTCTTCTTGTGTGTAAATTACAATAGGTAATAATGTGTTAAACTTTACTATGTACTGTTTAATAATTTATTAATATTTTGTTTGTTTACAATGAATCATAATATCTTGCAGGCTAATGGATTTTTGGGTGCTGCTGGTCCAGCTGGCGGAATTCCTCACGCCTATTCATTAATTGCTAGGAAGTAAGTCAAAATCCATTATTTAGTGGAATTGTTTCTTATTCATGATTAGTTTGTAAAACTTCGATCTTTCAGACACATTTGTTTTTAATGTTTCCAACCTATTTTGTTACTTTATTATTTTATATATTGGATTATTGTTGGAAAATTATAGTAACTAGGCTTTGATACTTTTTCAGGTTTTGGCAAAGAGTTTTAGATTCTAAACAGATGAACAGAGTGGAGATGTTGGAATATGAGAGACCTGGGTGGACATTCCATGCAAAAGGATTATGGTAAATATTACTATTGTTGATTTTTCTTGAAAATTACAGTAAAAATGTTATAACTAATCAGTGATTTGTATAGATCTAAGCTATTGTGTTTCATTCTATTCTATGGTGAGGCACGAAAATTTTTTTTCATTGGCAATCTAAAAGTTATAAATTTTAATTTGCAGGTATTACCCACCAGGCTGTGGAGTGCCATGGGCTACAATAGTAGGTTCTGCAAACTTGGGTGAACGGTCTGTCAGACGCGACCTTGAAGCACAGGCTGCCATATTCACTATATCACCAGAGTTACAGGTAATACCTTATTCTATTATTTAACTATTAGTGCTCAAACTGCACACAGGTGTTATTTCTTATACATTTATCTATGTTATTTCTATGTTTGTCCAGGAACCTACTAAACATACTAAGGTATCATCAAAATCTGACCAATGGTTTCTGAGTAAATACAGGATAAACATTATACAGATTTATTTATTCAATATGTTCCATCCCTAATTCCATATTCCTCTCGTTTAGCCAGTTTCATTATTTAGCTTTTATTATTATTATTTCAGCTGAAATTACATGAAGAATCACAGCTGTTGCACAAATTTGCAACGGAGTGCAGTAGTCAACTACAGAATAGAGACACTCCTCTATGGGTACGAGCCACAGTTGGTCTGTTTAGAACATATTTTTAAATGATACACAAAATGGCGCCATTTTGGTAGGTATGCGAGGGCCTGAAAGCTTTATTCTTTGTGACCATAACTGTTATAATCTTAAGATGTTAAAAGTAAAAAGCATATGTTTTTGTGAACGATATAATTAAAAGTAAACAATGAGGTTGGTAGTTGTGAAATAGTCAATTTATGTAATTTAATTAATTTTTAAATTAATGAAAAGATGAACACGACTTTGTAATAGGTACTTAATTTAGATGTCAATAATAGACCTAAAAACATTTTTTGTTAATAATTTTATATTTGTAATGTAACATTATTTTATTTATTACGTTATATTTTATAATTTTGGGATCACAGTGAACCGCGCGGCCGCGAATTAATTACGTTTTATTTATGTAAATCAGTATTAATTTCAGGCTGTATGTTCATTGAACCTTTGGACAAAATAGTTACCAAAGTATAATTATATAACAATTTGTTGAGTTTATAAAATGTTACATGATGGAAGTTGAAATGAAGTTTTTCTTTTTTATTCAATAATTTAGCCGTAGGTGTCAAAGAAAACAAAGTTTGTAATAATTCTCAATTATATTCACTCTTATTTTCATTTATATAATCACATAATCATAATTATTCCGATTCACACTTAAAATAATTTTAAAATAAATTAAACGAGAAAATATTCTGCAATAATTAATACAAAACTCAGTCGTTTCCTGACATTATTTGATTAGAATTAAAGTATACGATCAAATTTACAATAATAGGAATCAGGCACATTATTAATAATAAAACTATTTACTAGTGAGTAGTGAGAAACTAGTTTATCGTTGGATCGTAATTAGAGAACAGGACGAATGCGAGTGACGAATGCAACTGGACGAAATCACAATAAACAATATTGTTACGATAATATACCAGCAAATAATTGATCCAATAAAATAAAAAAACAACTCACTTTTGAGCATATAATCATTTCTGATTAAAATAATCATTGCAATTGAGCAATTTACACAAATACTTAAATAACAATAATTATTCACGTTAGAATCTGTTACTGAGGCATACTTATAGTATTTGTTTAACAGTGAGCAATTTAATAAAATCTGTGTATTCATATTTAATCAAATTTGAAACAAGGAGAGAGTAAGGAACCTTCCACTACTCTAGCATGGACGCTGTTTATCCTAATCTTTGGTGTGTTGGGCATAACTACGCTGAATGGCTTTACTAAATGTAGCGTGGCTCATACAACTACTGTGATTGTGAATAAATTACGTGGTACTGCATTTAGTAAAGTCGATCAGCCCTCTCGGGAACATTAAATTGTTGTGTCGCGGTAACGCCTTCTTCTATACACTACGGACGCTGATAGTAGGTACAAAAATAGTTCACCTATTCAATACAATTAAGACTACTTAACAATTAAGTATCACGAGGAGGCCATTGTAAAACGAAATTACGAAAATGGACAAAATAATCTCAACAGAACATAGAAATGACTCGATAAGCACAATACGAAACGTATAGATACTGACATTCAGGCACCGGGACCTCCTCGAATATAATACTACTTATAGCAAATCACACTAAGGTAAATTGACTAGGCGCGTTGTGAGTGGACCGCACTGGCCGCGAACTGAGGCTCAGGCTTCGACCTCGGAAGTAGGACAGAAGTATAAATGGATCAGATGTGGGTCGGCGTCGGAGTCAAAGCCTGCGGTCGGTCAGAGGAGAGCTGCGTCAGAAGCCGGGGTCGGGCGGCGGGTCCGGCGGCAGGTAGTGCAGCTCGTCCACGGGCGCGCTGAACACGTTGTACAGCACCGCGAACAGAGTGCACGCCGCCCACGCGCCCAGCGCCGCCCACCACAGCAGGCGCTCCCACAGCCGCGCCTGCGCGTGCTTCAGCACCAGCAGACCGATCGTCAGCCCCGCCAGCGCGCCCGCCACGTGCGCCGCGTACGACACCGGCGGCGCTTCCTGCAACCGACACTGCTATCAGTCCTGCACCGCTAGCGACTGCTTGCTTTATAGTTATTATACCACTCGAGATGATGGCTTACCTTAGTATATCTAGCGTGGACGGCGAAGCCCACGTCGCAGGACGCGACGGCGAGCGCGGCGACGAGCCTGACGGCGCCGTAGCGCATGGTGTGGAAGTTGAGCAGCGCGTTGGCGAGGTGCGCGGCCAGCAGCGCGTAGACGCCGCCCGAGGCGCCGGCCAGGCACACGTCGGGGTCCAGCACGGACGCCGCCAGCGAGCCGCCCAGCACGCCCGCCAGGTACACCGCCGCGCACCGCGCCGCGCCGTGCACCATCTCTAAGGGCAGCCCCACCTGCAAGCACACATCACGTCATTTATTGCCTTGCTACTGAGTTGACATTTTCATGACTTTTGACGACCGTAGTGAATATCATTATTGCTAGTTCGAGGTGTATGTATTTTCGCTCGGACAGTTTACGACTTTTTAAGTATTATGTAAATGTCAAGCGATAAATCAATTGAAAGTGTCCTCACAAAGTGTTTTATACAATGTTGTCTAGGGTATTTAGTTGAAATTGCAAGCAGTGATAAAGCAATACTAACCGCGAGTTGGACGAGGAGATTGAAAGCGAGGTGCAGCCAGCCAGCGTGCACGACGCTATACGTGAGGAACCGCCAGAGCTCGCGGCGCCGGTCGGAGCGGTATACGAGCGGCGAGTCCACCGGTACCGGCCCGGCCGCCGCCGCCACGCCGCCCGAGCCCCACGCGTACCACGCAAATACGCCCAGCTGATACACAAATTTACATTTTTATACCACGTAAATATAGGTAAGGTTGAATAAAAAGTTTATAGCACTAAGACAACTTAGATTCAGGCACCCAGATTTATCAGTCCTTTTGTTTACCTAAAGATTGATATAGAATTAAATAATTCCATTACTTAAAATCATAACATTCAATAGGGTACACTTTCAACTGAGAAAAGTGGAAATACTTAATTCGACAGTAATTAACAAATGCTGTAGAAACAGCCAATTGAATATTAGAATAGCAACTAATAATAATAAGGACAAATGTTTAATTATGGTTGATAATAAAATAATGGTGACATTTTATAACATTATTCATAGAGGGAAAACCGTTAACAAGAAAGCTAGTAGCGGTATAGCGGAGCATCACACGCAACACACGACTACGCGAGTAGTTGCAAGTGCGGGCCGAGGTGAATCAACGTGTGACGAGCCAGCAATGAGCACTGCCGACCGATTGTTATGATTCACGTAAACCGCTTGTTTGCACGGATGTGAAATCCGCTATTATAATTTTTAATTAACCGAAGTAACTGGAGCGGGGATTGAAGCGGCACTAGGCAAGTAGAAAGTGATGACTTTGTACGCCTTCAGTACCGTATTGTACAAAAGATTTATGTCCAATAGCAGTTGCGTAAAATCTATATTTTTTACTATCGTATTATCCGTTGCGGATACAAACTGTACGCAGCTCTATAACTTATAATAAAAGACAAACTAAGAGTAATATTACCTCTAACAGCGTGACACAGATGATGAAGAAGGGCGGAGGGCAACAAGTATACCGTTCCTGGTAGTACTTGCGATCCCGCTCCTCCGGGAGCATCTCCATCGCTACTAGGTGCACCATTCTGCAAAAAACGGAGCATTTCTTAAAAAAAGATGGATCATGCTAGTGACGAATGTAGGTGAGAGGTGACAAATCTCTTCCAAGTATTTTGAAGAGGGTGTGGTATTTAAATTCGTTGAGTATCTGGTGTATTAAGGGCCTACATGAGCATGTAATGTAATAAATCAGCCACCGTTAGGAGACCTGTTTATTCTAAAATAGTGTAAGACAACAAGTCATAAGAAATTTATGATATCACTTTACCTGAACTTTTAATGATGAAAGAACATTATTACATTCCTATTTCAAAACCGTACTGGAATCGAGCAATTGATCAATTCGCTTTCACTATATTCTAGATCTATATAAAAGCAATTTATTAACGGTTTTATTGTACGAAAGCACACCACATGTCAACGTGACACGACAAGTGAACATAAAAAAATATTTTTAGCGACGGCAATCGATTCAACGGCTATTATTTCAGTGGAATAAAGAAAATATTACACTACATAATTTAGTTTAACTGAAATTTTGATTTAGATAACATAAAGTTACATTTTACTGGAAATTTACAAGTTTCATCGATAAAGGATTTATGTTTACTGGAAGATGACAGACGAGTCACGGCATACTCGATTTATTTGAAAATTGTTTTGAACAGTTACACTCGGCTAATAGAGGGTAGTAAATTATGTCTCTAGGCTTTATGTAATAAATGGTGATTGTGTCTGATGTTCCTGCGTTGTAGTTGGTATATTACATTGGAGTATTTTCCTATTTTATCATCGTGTGGTAATTAGTATTACGTAAATACAGGCAGTGTGCTAATGGGTGCTGTGTTTACCTGGCGAATAACGTGGGATCCTCTAGGAGCAGATGGAAGTCGTTCTCGGAACTGACCTCACGGTCGCGGTGGTGTACTGCGCATCTATAGCTGCGTGTGCGCTTGCCGCTCATCTAAAACAAATAAACATTTTCATTTATTAATTAAATGCAAATACTGCCACCTGCCTCTCCGTAAACTGCTATAAATAGAGAATAAAATGACTGAACAATTTTATCAAATAAATAGATAAGTCTTTTCAGTTTTTATAATAACTATCGTGAGACATACTAAATCACTTCATAGTATAAAATAAAGTCGCTATCCCCTGTCTGTCTGTCCCTATGTATGCTTAGATCTTTAAAACTCCGCAACCGATTTTGATGCGGTTTTCTTTAAGAGATAGAGTGATTCTTAAGGAAGGTTTAAATGTACAACACATGCATAGGAATCAGAGTAAGAACCCCTCTGTGGTTCGAAACTAATAGAGCTTTTCTCAGTATATTCACGGGAGTAATTCGCGATTTTTAGTTAATTAAGTCTTTTCAGGTCACGTCTGCATGTAAGTATCTTTTATCCTCTCCACATTGCATGGAATGTGTATTTCTATCCCTATATCTTAATTTAACCCCCGTTTAAAATCTAATCCGTTCCCGGAAAGACAATAAAACATAACGCGTGTTTCCCTTGCACAGTCATGCACAGTTAATTCCCTAACTTAGCCATTTCGTTAAGGCCAAATGTACACTAAATTATTTACCATTTAGTTTAATATTTATCTCAAATACAATGCATGATTTTAATAAAATATAATTTACCGTATGTACTTAATAAACCTAATCTCTGTTATTAGTTTCTCTGGTCTCTTGTTGTAGGCCATATTATTATCATTTTTTCAGGTCAATCTGTTTAAGTAATTGTATTGAAGTACACATACGTTCTGCAATGATATGTGAACTTAAAAGCTTAGCTTAAGTAAGCACCTACTAAGTAAAACCTACATACATGCTAACTTAGGAGATTTTAAGACCAAGGAAACGAGAAATGAAGGAAATTATAAATGCGGCGTTCAATAAAATAAACGGTGAGAACTTCCACTTTAGAGTGGCGAGGGTGTATTTATGTGTCGCGGCACTGGCGGCTGGCTCGCGGCCAGCGCTTATCGACCCCGCTGTGAACCCCCCAACACCCGCCCTTGAGACACGTGCTTTTACATTTCAATGTTTCAACTAACTTAGGTTCACAGCTTAGCCACTAACTGCTAAAAAAAAATAAGTGTAGAAGTCTCAACTTCAGGTCTATGGCTAGATGCCTCCAAATTTTGTTTAATGTAGGTTACTGGTCTCCTTTTTAGCTACATAAGCACGTTTACGTTACGTAGCAAATTTCTAGTCTAATTTATGTGCAAGTAAATTGGAATAGAAATCCGCAATAGAATATAAAAAATGTAATTGTCTAATCCTACAAAGCTCCATACGTTATAGTTCCACATACACACGTAGCGTAGGTGGTTTCATTCTAGAGAAAGCTTCAGGAATTCGGTTCACCTATTCTCTCGTGGCATATCTGCTACCTTCCCACGTTAAGCTATAAGTACACCAATGTGCTTTGAATGTAAAGCGATGTGAATAAATCAAGTATAGTGTTTTAATAGAAGATGGCCGAAGATGTAATGCGGAACGTGAGGTGCAGGCGCGACACTCGGCAGTCGGCAGCGGGCAGGCGATGCTCGGCGCTGCCGCGATGCCGCACGGGTGGGCGGTGGTCCGGTGAACGACTGGTCGCGATACCAGACAGCCGCATTGTCTCTGCAGTCGTTCAACTCAGTTTCCCACGAGACTGCGAAATGTCCAATGCCAAAACCCAAATACAAATAGCCTAGACGCGTCGCAGACACAGCTAAATCTGTCTCGGCAACAGCGACCGCGTTAATTTAGAAGACTGTGCGTGTAATATTGTCCGCAGTCATTGTCATGATAGCGTTACGGTTGTAAACTCGTCACGCGGATTTCCAATTATTCATGAAATCAGTCAGAAAAAAAATATTTGTTTAAAATATTTAGACACGTTATTGAATACTGAAAATACCATAAACATCTATGTCTAATTTTCGTAGTCTATGTATTAAAGTTAAAGAATACCACAGACGACGTACTTACCTATCTAATCAAATAGGCCTAAAGTCGGAATAACTAATCTTGATCCTTGACGGAAACAAAAAATAAGTTAATTGTATTCCTTATTTATTTACTTATACATCGCAATCATATAGATTCGACATAATATATACAGTATCACATTTTAATCATCGAGTGTATTATTTACATAAATGATTGTGATTTTTAATTTATTCTCCAAATCATCACTTCTTTAGGTATAATGCGTATGTAAATTGACGTTTATTGTACTTTCTGTAGTAAAGCTGATGTTGTAGTTTTGCGATGCAGCCTGGGCGCCAGTGGGCGCACTGGCTATGGAGGAGCGACGCGGCGGCGTGGGCGCCGCGTGACTCACGCCGACATCCGACACGTCCGATCCGTATCCGGAACCACTAACTAGGCACCTATTGCCGTTGCCAGTCAAACGAGCGCACGAGCCTACGCGACGCAACAATCATTTCAATAACCCACATTATCATACATCCATTAATTATATCAAGATGTAAAGTAAACAGATCGTGATAAAATAAGTTTTCTAATGTAAATTCACCCATTAAGTAATGTTTAACGTAACATACTATAATATAGTGTAGCATATTGCTATTTAAACACGCCAAATTCATAATAAATACACCAATTAAAACTTGAGTTACAGATTTATTAGATGGTGACTTATGAACACCTACGCTGCATAAAATTATTTAGCCTTTATGAATGGAACTATAATTGATTTTCTAGTCGTAGTTCATTCACTCGTATTATTCATTTGAAGCATATTGAAATTTGTGCCGTTGACAATTAAAGACTGTTTTACTTGCAATATTTTGTCCGAGTATTTTTCTAACAGGTACAGATGTCAACTAATGGAGTAATAGATGCAATTTATTTCATAATATTACTATTACAAATGTTCAAGAATGATTTGATGTTCCAATTTGAATGATACAATTTTAAACACAGTAGAAGAGCATAATATTGAGATTAATTCCTCGATATCACTAGGTAAAATTTCAAACACGTTATAGACTTGGTTTATTGTGTTAGCATAGTAAAGTAATGATTTCTTTAATGTGGATTCATCATTGTGATGGGGCTTTTTATGAAAATCTAACATATTCATATAAGATTTGGTGTGTTAGAGCGATGTGCCCGGCACGTGAACTCTGGGAGCGTTCCCACGCACCCACCTCCGCACCATTATGTTCTAATCTCTTGTAGTCTCTTTCCATTATTACGAAGCTGTGAAAGTATGCTATTCGTTTTGCAAGTGGGAAGGGTAATAAATTCACATTGCGAAATTCGACTGCAAAACATGTTAATTAGATCAAGAAGGAAGTATTTTTAAATAGTTTACCTGCCTATATTATACTTCGCCCATATATGCATAAATAGTAGATTTTTGAAATTTGGGGTAACGTAAGTTGGTTCTAGCGGTGACTGGCACCATGCCCACCTCGGTGCGCGTACCCTCGATTTCCTGTCGGACTCGGAACTTCCGGTGGCGGCGGCCGGTCACTACATCGCTTTGAATATTTTGTTAGGGTTTGAATAGATTGATTGATTTATGAATTCCCATTAAAATACAAGGAATATAATAAAATATAACGTAATAGAAAAATAATAAACATATCAAATATTTATGTATCAATTTGCGCCCTTGAAAAAACGGTGCGACGGACTTCTTCTGGTCGTAACATGTTCGTACATGTTATTGCTGCTAACCTACTCTTTGACATTAATATACTATCATTGAAATAATATACGCCTATTATCTAATTAGACAATGATATAAGTACATTTAATAACAGTGAATAAGCAAAATTTTTACTTTTCAATGGTGAATGCTGATCGTGAAAGCATAGATCGTAAATAATAAAAAATATCATTTATTTAGCACAATTAATAATACATAAATAATTTTAACCAAAACAAAGGGTTATAGAATACATATCATGTACCTATGGCACAGAGAAAATTGCTTAATCATAATAATCTATCACACATAATGCAAATCTGGTAATTCAACTATGTAAATTAAATGATGAAATCAAACTGACAATGAGTCAGAAGAGTCTCTGATGTAGTACTGTACAGTGTACATAACTATAGCAACATCTTTCAAAGTGTTAGCAATTATTTGAACTAATTTTTCATAATATTTCGTAGACTTACATTATGTATGTTAAGTCTTGACTTAATGATGTTTTTTTTGAAAGAAAGAATATTCTCCTACTTTTGAACTACATCGGTAGGTAATTCGATACACCATGAATAATTTTACCAATGAATACAGTACAGATTGAGCTGTAATTTTTTTAGTTTTTTAACTTTTTATATTAAGTCTGCCTTTACAATAATATTACGCTTACATTTGAAACTTACTCGACATCACATCCTGTACTTGAAACTAGATTTTTATAATTTGTATAAGTGTCCCGAAAAAGGGATGGATCCTTAAAATTTTACTTGATTTACAATTTTTAATTTGACAAAATATAATAATTGTCGAGATACAATATGAAGAGCCTATTAATTCGATATTACGGGAGCAGTAACAATATTTATGATCAACTACTTATAATAGTACGTATATAACATGTAATATTCTTTATTTTTTATCAATGAATCTTGCACATTCATTAGATACATTATGGCATACATGTTGTCATTTATTTTTATGATGTAGAAATGAAATAGTACTAATTAAAAAATATGATGTTAATCGAAACAGTTTTATAGCCCAAGTCGCGCCCACTATGCGTAGGTTGGCAGACCACTACCTACGTTGTTCACTGCCAAATTTATTTGTAAGTATATTGTCAAATAATAGTAGATAATATTTGGTATTTTTAAAAGTCTCAAACAATAGATTTGTTTATGAGCGTATTTTCGATATTTTGAATGTAGATAGGTATAATTTATCATGTTTAAATATTTAAGATAAAATAAATAAACTAATGAAGAGTACTTAAAATACATATATATTTGCTACCTCGCAATGCGCGGTTTTAGTATTTTGTGTTGATACACTCTTATAAATTTAAATTAGGAAAAACGTAGAAAACGTAGGTAGGTAGTTACTTTTTATTCCCAATTTTAGTTTTCAATACTCAATTTAATTTTAATTTAATTAGTGAATATTGTGTACATTTTTTCTTTTATATTATTATACACGCGCTTACATTTTAATTGAAGGTAGAACTTTATGATTGAAAATTAAAAGAAAAACAATATGATCAAGACTTGCTTGTCGTTGTATCCAAGTTGTCATAATTTAAAAACAAACCTTTTGAACTGAACATATAATTGTAATAAAATTAATAAATAAATTAATAGGCAATACTTGACAGAAAATTGTTAACGATTTCATATTTAAAAGATATCTCATTGATTGCAAAAAGCGTTGTAATATGGTTTGTATATTTATTTGCTTTGGTAAACATAACCTAAAAATAAAATAAAACTAATCTGGACACAATTAATTTACGTAATAATAACAATATCAAAATTAAACTGTAATTAAGTTTCATATTAAAACATAGGAAACAACAATTAATACGATTCTGTGGACTTACCCATCATTTTCCTGAAGTTTGTACTCCTTTTTTGCAAAACAATAATAATTTTCTTAAAACAAAAATAAAAAATGCAACACGTCACTAAAAGTCACTGGGATTATATGCGTGAGGTAGATAATTGTTTATTTTGTAAAGTTTTCGTAAGCGTTTAAAAGACGCGTGCGGAATCAGCTGTGCTGAGAGCGCGGAGCGACACGAACTACTCTCAACAGCGCTCCTTGCAGACTGACGTTTCGTAATTTCGTTCCGTACTTGCGTTTCGTTTTCGTCCGGTTGTCGAATGCTCGGGTGTTTTTTTTGCGGTTTGGACTGAGTGTCGGCTAGGTACTGCATTGTTGTGATCCTAAAAGGGTGGTTCCAAAATTTATTTCCGAATGAGCTACCTTCCTTTTTTATGTTATTATTTAGGAATTTTACGATACATATAATTATATACCTAGTTATTTTGAACTTGCACTGACCTAAACTGTAGATAAGTACATAAGTACATAGGTAGTTAGGTATAAGTATATATGTTATTAATTTAAAATATAATATTTATGTGGTTTCATTTCAGTAGGTAAGTACTTACATGAATTGAAAGATGCATTTATTTAATAAATAGGTACCTACCTATACTATGCCCTTTTTAAATAGGTACCCTCACATTTGTTTACAAATATTGCATGGTATGTTACGAATGACTATGATGGTGGTTATATCTACCTTACCTACTCACAGAAGTATGTCTTTAGAAATATTTGGATATCTATAATATGTAGTCTACCTGTGTCACAAATTTTTCATTTTTAAATTTTTCACTTTTTTACATGAAAAAATAAAATTTGCCATGTGCAAGGTGACTCAAGGAGAATAGGGACTTACGGCAACCCAGGCTAGAACAAAGGCTGGTCTTTAGTTGGTTAATGATACTTGCACACCTGTTGACCAAATGCTAAAAATGCTTTATCTATTATAATTATTGTGTTACTGCAGCCTAATCCCTTTCAGCTGTGTTCCATTCTATTGAAGAAAATATTACTTTCTTTTTTAATGGTTTTTTGGATTGTTACTGTCACTATTTATATTAGTAGGTAAAAAAACTATTTTATGATATAGACAATATCACAATACTAATAATAAAAAATAATGTTGTAATGGTCATGGTCGAATACATAGATATTTTTATTATTTATCTGGTTGAATCCATCCACTCGGTCCCAAAGCTTCTTATGGAAAACCAAAATGTTATTTCGGTTTCGGACACTATTATTTTACCTATAACTGGTAAATTAAACTTGCACAAAATTCGGCCTATTTTTACTTACATTAAAATATTAATTTACGTCACAACTTCATACATACCTACCAATAAAAAAAACTAAGCAGATGGTTTGACCCGAGACAAGTCTCGACATAATGACATTTCACGCTCATTGGCTCTCGACTGAAACTTTACGGTCCCGGTACGTCAACACATGGACTGTTGCCGATACGTACAACAATGACAGGTGGACGTCAGTCGTCACTACGTCACCAGCAGAGGGATCTGCTAATTTGCCCAATATTTATTCGCAAGATGCCGACACAAATCGAGGGTCATTATAATGGACCATTTGGCGTTGAGCGGCACCTTTGATAAAGTTTTTGCTTGCTTACTAAGCAATAGATTATACCTATTTTATTTATTTAAAAACGAATGTGTTATATATGTTAGAATTAAATAAACATAACAACTTGCAAGGTGTAAAGTGACTGATATCAAATTGGAACCTTTATAATGCCAACCTACGATAATGCCTGCGGCATTACGTCCGCCTATGCTTTGTACTTACTGTGCATGTCACTTTGGTGACCTTTTGTTTTTTATTGCGGCCAATTTTATATTTACTTAAGTACAATGTAAAAATCACATTAAAGAATCGCTTCCATTAAATGAAGCTTTTTCAGCCAGTGGGAGGGTGGGGTTTTAATTAATACTTTAGTTATGTATAATAATAAAATTATAAGCGTATAAAACAATTCTTACTTAAGGTCGTTGAGCAATTACATTGTTTACTTTATTATTACCTGTCTGTTGAGTGGTTTACTCTTTACTGTTAAGAGCAAATTTTATATGAAGTACTTATCATTAAAAAACACATCAATTTTACATTAAACAAGATTCCCAAGTTCAACGCTTTCAAGTTGATTTCCCGTCATATTACTTAACGACCCCAACCATATGGTGAGCCACCCATGACCGCGGCTGTTGTGTTATCAAAAATTTGTAAATCTACTCAAAACAGCCAGTCATCCCGGCTGCTACCTACAGCACCGGAGTTTCCGAATCCCCTTACAGTGTATCCACTCCCTAATACACAGTAAACATAAAAAAATCTATTGCACATTTTTAATGGGCGGATTAAAAACTTAGGTACCTTGTTTAAACATACAACATTATAATTTAATTTTAATATATAAATCAATTTAGTATTGGAAGAAAAAAATATTATTATCGGAAAAGAATTTGTGTTAATAATTTATTATATTCATGACGAAAGCTTTGAATATGTGAGGTATAAATCCCAGATGTATTTCTTAATATTGTGTAAAAAATTTTCCAATGTGCAATATCATCATTCTAATAGAAATTCAGTTGCAATACTTAACATTTTTCTCGCGGAGGAACTACTAGGGCGATCTGGAACATCTGTGTTTGAACGGGATAATTTGAGTTCGACTGGATGCGGTTCGCAAAAGCCCATCCCGCAGGGGTTCTACAAACGGCCAATATTTAAAGAGGATTAGGTACTTATCAGGGAAATAGCCACCGTCGCGTCGTTCATACAGCCGCCGTATCATAATTTGGACAAATCGATTTAGATCGGGCGGCGCGTTTGTTCCATGATTTAGTAGCACAGACAAATTGGGCCTTCCACATCGAGCCATGATCGATACACTGTGTATGGGCATGTAATGTGGATGTTGAAGCGGTTACCAATTACAAGGACTTGAAAGTAAACGATCCGTAATTTTGTTCATTCAATCTGGTGCAGTCAATTATTAAAGTCATCCCATAACTTGGTATTTCTAAGTATAGGTAATGCTGTAACGTACTTACTTACATCATATTTAAAATGTATACGTTACTTACTTGAAAAAATCGGAGAAGACTGGATCGAATCGGTTCTATAATTTTTGTAGGTTCAATCTGATGGACGTGTTTCGTTGTTCCTATTTGTTTGACTGCAATCTTATGATTCATCAATTTTATGTAGGCAAGCGAACAAAAATAAATAAATAAATCATTTAGTTAAGACGAAGTCAAAATAAAAACTAAAATTAGAATACAATTTAGTAATGACGAGTTGCAATAATTATATTTTTAGAAGTTCATCAGTTTTCTTTAGAAGTTCATCAGTTTGGCCCTCACCTCATTTCTATTTTAGTGCCAACTATTTTGCTGTTGTTGTTAAATTGAAACAATAACTAAATATAATAATACTGCTTTACAATGATTCAGTTAGTTAATATCGTATTTTCGGTTCTGATTCAACGATTCTGTATCTAGGGCCCGTTACTCTGTTCTTCACCGTAAATTAATTGCGTTTCCTAGAACTGATCGAAGTCAGAGCACCGTTTCCGAAATCATTGTTTCGGCTGATTGAATCATAATTTACTTTTATATCACAAGTATTGCAGAGATAGAGTAATTCCGGTGTAGTAACAGATATGTCTCGGTTGCGGCGCCTCGAATGCCGTGATTCACTTGATGTAGTGATTCATTAATACCTATTACACACTGTTACGTCCACCGCGCATCGTCGTGAGTCAAAAGTGCATGTTGTCTATGATTACAGCACGTGTGAGTGACCGGCCTTGTAAACATCGCTGAAAATGTGTGCTATGTTTTTGGATAGCTGGATTTCGACTCGCGTTGTTCCATTTTTTTTCTTTCCTCCTCGTGTAGTAACTACGTCACAAGTTTATATTTGTGTGAGTGAACGAATTCGTACTGTGCTACTGTTGTGAGGATTTTGGTGGTATGTATGTATATCTATGTATAGTAGCTATTATAATTATTATGCTAAGTGGACACTTTGAGTTATCACAAATGAGTCCCGAGTTAAATATCGTTAATAGGGGTTGAGTATGTGCGTGACCTGGCCTAGTTGTGTTTAAATATGTTATAGGCAGTTTATTTCCATTTAGGACGTCTACAGGGCATGAGTCTGGTGGCATTAGCCTACTTTATTCGTCAATGTCTCGGTTTCCTAATGAAATTAAAGGAACTTTCCGCCTATTTAGGTCGAATCAACAATGCTATCATTTGGTGGTTACTTATTGCGTACGTTTCATGTGCCGGTGATTTATTTACTAAAGCACACGTTTGCAGACATACATATGTTTATTACTTAATTTACTATTGTCGTTCCTTTTAAAAACGGAACTAATAGGTTTTTCCTGATTTCTACAAGGGAGTTTGCACAAAATGCCAGGAGTGCGCTTCCATCAAAGAGCAATGTTCTCGACACGCAACCGGTCAAAACCCTGGCACGATATGAACATGAGTGGTCATAACGCCATCGTTCTGTTTTCCAAAAACAAAATTTGCATTCGAAATTGGAACGCGAATGGCACGAGCGCCCCGGGCGGATCGCTACCGAGCGCACAATGCACGCGCTCACGCTGATTTTTTGCAATTTCCATAATTCCACATTACCTTCATTTAGGTAGTTAATTTAGTTCTTTATGGTAAAAAATAAACTAGAACTGCGTGCAGCGCTACAATCAGAGGAAATGAGCATTTATTCAGAAATGTTATTGTACCGTTGCTTCGGTAGAGCTTTAAAACTTTCAACACGAAAATGACGGAGTAATGACACATTTCTACTTTTTCTTTATAAAGAAATCTGTTATTCTTATAACTCGAGTAGTGACTGACTTTAAGTTAAGAAGATAAATATAACTTCATTTAGCAGACTGTCCCCTTAGGGTAGGTCGTCATTGGTGTAAAAATCATTATGGGGCAGTATATCGAAG